ACTACCTGTAAGAGGGGAGGAACTACCTGTAAGAGGGGAGGAACTACCTGTAAGAGGGGAGGAACTACCAAGAAGGGAGGAACTACCTGTAAAGGGGAGGAACTACCTGTAAGAGGGGAGGAACTACCTGTAAGAGGGGAGGAACTACCTGTAAGAAGGAGGAACTACCTGTAAGAAGGGGAGGAACTACCTGTAAGAGGGGAGGAACTACCTGTAAGAGGGGGAGGAACTACCTGTAGGAAGAACAATACTGTCCACCCGCTTTCATTAATTTCCTTGGGGTGATCAGGACGTCCCCATAGAGAGAGAGATACTACACTCCCTCTAGGCTAATAGCAATGAAGCCCAACAAACACTATACACCGCACAAACACGACAAACAAACACCATACACCACAAACACGACAAACAAACACAACACACAAACACAAACAAACACCATACACCGCACAAACACGACAAACACACGCCAGACATCACACAAACACGACAAACAAACACCACAACACACAAACACGACAAGCACACAAAAAGGCCACACAACATACACAACAAACACCACACAACAAATACAACAAACACAACAAACACAACACCACACAACAAACACACAACAAACATATTCTAAATCACCTGTTCTCTCCTTTATCATCTTTAACTGACCTATTCAGCTACTTCTCTCCCACCCCTACCCAGCTAACAGAACACACACACACACACACACACACACACACACACACACACACACACACACACACACACACACACCACACCCCTCCCTAACATAAGCCACAAAGAGGAGAGAGAAGGGAGTCATATATCCAGCTTGTGTTGTAGGGCTTACAGTGTATGGTCAGCCAGCCATGAGTAGATCTGCGTGGTGTCAATACTGAGGGAGGGGGATAGGAGGGAGGGAGAGAGAGAGGGAGAATGAAAGGGATGAGAGGGAGAAGGAGGGGTGTGGGGAGGGAGGGAGGGAGGAGTTGACAAGAGAGGGAAGGGGTTAGATGGGGAGGGATAGATGGAGAGAAGGGAGGGATAAGAGAGGAGGAAGGGGAGAAAGACAAGGTAAGAGTAGAGCGGGGAGAGGGAGGAAGGCGAAGGAGAGAGAAGGGAGAAAAGTAAAGGTAGAGATATTCATGATAAGGAAGGAAGGAAGGAAGGAAGGAAGGAAGGAAGGAAGGAAGGGAAGAAACAGTGAGAGAGGAGAGAGAAAGTGTGTAGTAAAGAGGATAATAACACTCACACACGGCCCAGGTAGATGTGCCATTTAAACTCTAATAACACAGGTATAATTTCACTTACGATCCTTGTAGAATCTATCTTTACGTCGTAGATTCTAATATTATCTACTTCAGACCTTCCTCATAATGTACAAGTTAATGAGGATAATTTAACCTGTAAGTACCTTTAAGACTCTGCCCGTGAGAAATAAGTTAGGCTTCGACGTCAATTAAATAAACTTCAATTTGGCTGAGGAACCTTTGAGAATCACAGTGTGGTGGTCGGGAGGTCAGTGGTTCGGGTAGTTTACGGTCGGCTGGTCGGGTGGTCAGTAGTCGGGTGGTCGGCGGTGGGGAGCTCATCATACCAGGGCGTAACGAGGGGCGGCTCAGTAGGATTTATGCTTCCATTCTGAGTCAAGTCTTGTGTTGAACATGTTATTTAGGTTCTGTTTAATTTATGAATGGGATCAAGAGTGGTGAACCTACTGATGGAGAGGGGTGGGGAGAGGGAGGAGAGGAGAGGAGGGGAGGGGGAGAGGGAGAGGAGGGAGGGGAGAGGGAGGAGAGGAGGGAGGGAGGAGGGAGGGGGAGAGGAGGAGGGAGGGGAGAGGGAGAGAGGGAGGGGAGAGGGAGGGGAGGGGTAGATAAGTGAGAGGGATTCGGAGAGTGAGTTAAAGAGAGAGAGAGAGAGAGAGAGAGAGAGAGAGAGAGAGAGAGAGAGAGACTGGAGGTTGTAAATGTGTGTGTGTTTGCTGTATATTAAAGTGCTTGTGCTTCTCTGCAACTGATCATATACAAGGTGTGTGAGTGCCTCTAAACACGCACAGTGGTGGTGGTGGTGGTGGTGGGAGGTGGTGGTGGTGGAGGAGGAGAGTGTAGTTGGAGACCGTGGGGACGTGTGGTGGAGACTGAATGGGGATAGTGGTGGAGACCAATGGTGGACGTAGTGGTGGAGACTGTAATGGTGGGAAGTAGTGGTGGAGACCGTAATGGTGGAGGTAGTGGTGGAGACCGTAATGGTGGAAGTAGTGGTGGAGACCAATGGTGGAAGTAGTGGTGGAGACCGTAATGGTGGAATAGTGGTGGAGACCGTAATGGTGTGGAGTAGTGGTGGAGACCGTAATGGTGGAAGTAGTGGTGGAGACCGTAATGGTGGAGGTAGTGGTGGAGACCGTAATGGTGGACGTAGTGGAGACTGTAATGGTGGAAGTAGTGGTGGAGACCGTAATGGTGGAAGTAGTGGTGGAGACCGTAATGGTGGAGGTAGTGGTGGAGACCGTAATGGTGGACGTAGTGGTGGAGACTGTAATGGTGGAAGTAGTGGTAGAACCGTAATGGTGGAAGTAGTGTTGGAACCGTAATGGTGGGGTAGTGGTGGAGACCGTAATGGTGGACGTAGTGGTGGAGACTGTAATGGTGGAAGTAAGTAGTGGAGACCGTAATGGTGGAAGTAGTGGTGGAGACCTGTAAGGTGGAGGTAGTGGTGGAGACCGTAATGGTGGAAGTAGTGGTGGAGACCGTAATGGTGGAGGTGGTGGAGACCGTAATGGTGGAAGTAGTGGTGGAGACCGTAATGGTGGGAGGTAGTGATGGAGACCGTAATGTTGGAGATAATGGAGACCGTAATGGTGGAGGTAGTGATGGAGACCGTAATGGTGGAAGTAGTGGTGGAGACCGTAATGGTGGAGATAGTGATGGAGACCGTAATGGTGGAGGTAGTGATGGAGACCGTAATGGTGGAAGTAGTGGTGGAGACCGTAATGGTGGAGGTAGTGGTGGAGACTGTAATGGTGGAGAGTAGTGGTGGAGGCTGTGGTGGTGGAGGTAGTAGTGGTGGAGGCCATGTGTGGAGGAGTAGTGGTGGAGGCCGTGGTGATGGAGGTAGTGGCGGTGGAGGCCGTGGTGATGGAGGTAGTGGTGGAGGCCGTGGTGATGGAGGTAGTGGCGGTGGAGGCCGTGGTGATGGAGGTAGTGGTGGAGGCCGTGGTGATGGAGGTAGTGGCGGTGGAGGCCGTGGTGATGGAGGTAGTGGCGTGGAGGCCGTGGTGATGGAGGTAGTGGTGGAGGAGGCCGTGGTGATGGAGGTAGTGGTGGAGGAGGCCGTGGTGATGGAGTAGTGGCGGTGGAGGCCGTGGTGATGGAGGTAGTGGTGGAGGAGGGGGAGCCAACCAGCCTCGGGAAGCTTGGCGTTGCACTAAGTGAATGACGTGTATAAGATTATCTCACCGTAATGTAATTGGTGTAATGGAAATGAAGGCAGAATACGACTGTGTGTGTGTGTGTGTGTGTGTGTGTGTGTGTGTGTGTGTGTATATATAATAATTAACGGTTTATTGAAAGAGCTTGGGAGCCAGAAGGCTGAAAATATACAGTTACATATTTGGGGAATGGGTTACGAATTACAAATAATGTACAAGTAACATAAGTGATACAAATAAGATATATAATAACTAGATGGAAAAGCTCAGACTACAGTGCATTTCAACATAGTGACAGTGCAAGGAGTAGTGTTTACTGGGAATATACACTGGTTTATTACAAGTTATTGACAATTTTACAATGGTTGGGACTGGGCTGTTCTTATAGCGATCAGTTCGTGCTCGTATGGGCTGGATGCGGTTGTGGTGTCGAATAGCAATTCTCGGGCTAGGGATCTCAGGTGGTAGTAGGAGCCGGTGTCGAGGATTGGTGCAAGCTTCTACCAATTTGCAGATGAGGTCGTGGTGATGGTCAGTGAGCCGAGAGGGGTCAGTGTGTTGAGCGCTTCTTGATATGTGGAATAGGAAGGAGAGAATAATCTTGCATGCCCTCTTTGCACTTTCTAGGTGTTTACGTTGTGTGGCATTTAGGGAGGAAGACCAGGTGGGAGGCATAGGTGAGCTTGGGAAGTATGAATGTTGTGTGTGTGTGTGTGTGTGTGAATCCCTCCCAGAATATATCCAAGCAAATGGCAGCTAGAGAGATTGAGAGAGAGAGAGAGAGAGAGAGAGAGGGCGAGAGAGAGAGCTCTGCCACTGAACTGTCAACCATTGGGAGAGATTAATTAAGTTATCTACCTAATTACTTGCTATTCAAGATCATTATTAAGGCGATTTATTCCATTTAATTATGTAAATGACTTGAGTTAGTAAGATCGGGTTACCATTACCATCTCGCCTGTGTTAAGGTACCAGCTTTATGGAATGTACACACACACACACACACACACACACACACACACACACACAACACACACACACACACACACACACACACACACACACACACACACACACACACACACACACACACACACACACACACACACACACGTATTCCTATTACGTCATACCCGTGAAGAATGTGTAAACCTGAGCTCGTTATGGCGTCTCTGAATAAATTTCTTTGAATCCGAATCCGACTTGAAGAGGTGAGGCCTTGGCGCTCTAAGACCATTTAAATTTCCTCAAATGTCTTATCTAAGGGACTTGTCATCCAGCTCCATCTGTTGGTAGAGGTACAAATTCATCACCTGAGCCAGGGAGAGCGAGCGAAGCCATAGGGATGCTGCGGCGTCCTTGCCAGACGCACGAGCAAGCCAAACCATTCACTCCCAGTACTCTGAATTATATACAAAACAACACATAATCAAACCTATATGATATGTTAAAGATAATTCGCGTTATTTATAGTAATAAGAAAGTGCTGTTATTATTATCGGTAACGAGAACGTTTATAAAAGCGTACGAGAAGTTGTTGGTGAACCCCGGCAGCGAAGCAGTGTCAGTGGGAGCTGGGAGACTCTGGTGGAGGCATCCTGCGATCAATTTCGTTTCCAATTTCTCACTAGATGAGCGATAGTCTGGTGTTGTGACCGCCCATACACACGGCCACACCTCCCAACTACCCAGGCATAATGGTGAGTACTTATAAGATACATTTTTCCCTCCATTTAAACAACAATATAAATTTTACGCAGACGAAGCGTTCTTGAACCGATGTCAACAAATCAGTTCACATGTGTTGAGATTTTTTAAAGCTGTTCGAGATTGACTTAAAATATAAAAACAAACATTCATAAATAAGTCAATCATGCATTTTAAAAGTATATATATTATTTAATTATAAACAGTTTGTATTTACGAGTGAAAGAAATCTCACTGTGACAAAAGAAACAAATTTGTGTTTTTCTAACGCGTTCGTGATGGGTTTAAACGTTTGAAGGAAAAAAGAGTCACAGTTTTGGTTCGTGTTTACTTGGGTGTTTTATTCATAGAGTATTTTATCTTATTGATGTGACTATGTAAACAAAGGAGATAGAGAAATACAAGAAGAGGTAGAGAAAAAGATACATAGAAAGGAGGGAGAGAGAGAGAGAGAGAGAAAGAGAAATATAGAGAAGAGATAGAAAAAAGATTAGAATGCAATTTTCGTTCAACATCAAATTACCACCCATCAGAATATATCCATCTATACACAAATGACCTTCATCTCTGGTGGATCAGTTCCCTGTTTACTCTCGCTCATGTAGTAAAACACCTGGGTAATAACTACAGGTGTAATCAAGGTAATTTAATTATTGTCAATTAGTAATGTTGGATCATTAAGGAGGTTATATTTGTTGAGATTTGATGCATGTATATATATATATATATATATATATATATATATATATATATATATATATATATATATATATATATATATATATATATCTCTCTCTCTCCGTTTAGGTGTATTTTCACTACTTTCTTTGTGGGGAAAGTTTAATTACTGTGGACAACCGGTGAAAGCTCTTAAAAACCTCAGTCTTTCTCCTCACAGGTATATTCCTAAACTTTGTACTTGGTGAAAGTTTTTTTTACTTGGGACTTTATGGTGAAAGTTCATTTTACCTGCCTCTTAGGGTTAAAAAACTTTCACTTCCTTGGTAGCAAATCCTTACTTTTTTGAGAGAAAAAGTTTTCTTCCCTCTCTACCGTAGAAGGAAAGTTATTTTACCTGTCTGTTGAGGTTAATTAAGGTGTAGTGACAGATTATCCAGATAAGCGCTTTTTATGGAGCAACTCTGACCCACAGAAACCAAACCTAACGAATAACCCTAACCAACGTCTTGAACACCGACCTAACCTAACCTAACAACATTGCAGACCTGACCTAACCAACACAACCTAACCCAACATTGCCCTGACACAATACAACCAAACCCAACAGCAATGCCCCAGACACAAGCCCTAACCAACCTAACTTAACCCCAACGTCCCCGAACCTGGCAACTAACCTAACCTTTGAACCACCGACCTAACCTAACCTAAACCAACGTACCCCTAACTGACCTACCAACCTAACCTAAACCAACACTACCCCGAACCTGACCCTAACCTACCTAAACCAACATGCCCAAACCTGACCTAACAACTAAACAACATACCCCGAACCTACCAACTACCTAAACCAACATACCCCGAACCTGGCAACCTAACCTAAACCAACGTGCGAACCTGACCCTACCTAACCTAAACCAACATCCCGAACCTGACCTACCTAACCTATCCTAAGTTAACGCTGTTGAAACATAAACTAATTAAAGTTACCTCATAGAGAGAGAGGCGGGGGGTTCATCGTAGGAGAGAGAGAGAGAGAAGGTTTAAGGGAGATGAAGTTAGTGAGGAAGGAGAAGGGAAGAGGAGTGATGGAAAAAGAAGGAAGGAAGGAGCTGAAAGAGGTAAGGAGGTATGTATTTGGAAAGAAGTAAGGAAGAGAAGGATGGAAAGGGGATGAAGGAAGGGTCGTAGAAGGAAGAGGAAGGACAAGAAAAAATCACTTTCCCTCGCTTCTCTATTCCCAATCACTTCACCTCCTCCACCCTCCTCCACCCACCCTACCACCCTCCTCCACCCCTGCCTAGGTTAATGGCGCGTGTGGTGGCGTTGGGTTAAGTCGCCATAGTTTAAAAGGAGAGTTACGGTGGGCTGGGTTTCGCAATATATTTCCGCTAATCGTAGGACGCTGACTGTTTCTGTTTGCCTGGGAGGAGGATGGTGGGGGTTAAGAGAGGGAAGCTGTTTTTGTGTGTCTGGAGGAGATGGGGAGATAAGAAAGAGTGATAGGGAAGGAGGTGAGGAGAGGAGATGGAGGTTAGGACAGAGGAGGGTTGTTGGTGTGTTGGAGAGGACCCAGTTAGGATCGTCTACACAGGAGCCAACAGTTAACTCGCTGTTTGTGTCCTTCTGAGATCATTGATTCCCGTCGTAGCTTAAATTCCTTTAACTCTCTCTCACATTACCAGTTCAAGAAATGCAGGAAAACTTATATTACAGGCCTTTGAGAAACTATCTGTTGCAGTTATAGATATGATATAAATAAGACTGATAATATATTGATCCGTTCTCATAGTCCCATGTGTGGTAGACTGACTCGTTATAATGCGTTCTCACATCACCAACAGGAAAAATAAAACCCGAAGAATTGGCCCCAAAGGCGTTCTGACATTTTAATATCCTAAATGCGTTCACAATATAAAAAACTTCCATTGATGCTGACCACCTATGTTCTCTTGTCAGCCATTAGTAAATAAAGCCATGAGCGATAAAGTTCAGTCGCCACACAACAAACACACACACAACACACACACACACACACACACACACACACACACACACACACACACAGTAAAACCTCTATTTAACGGACTATAATATGAGAAAATATACTGATAGAATATGACCCCGTCTAACGGATTATTTGAAGACAGAAATCCGTTATATGGAGGTTTTACTATGCACTGAAAACCGATATACTGAGAAACCTAATTGATAAAAATGTTTATAAAAATGTTAAAAACTGTAAAAAAAAATATAAATGTTAAAAAAATTATCCATGAGAGATGAGACGAAATTGTGATATATCTCCTAATTGATTCTCTTGTCTCTTCAAGCGTAGAGACTTAGCTTAAGACTCTTGTGAGAGAAATAGAGAGAGAAGGATTAGCGTGAGAGAAGAGACAGGGCTGATTAGCGTAAGAGAGATAGAGGGTGAGACAGGGCTGATTAGCGTGTAAGAGAGATAGAGAGGGTGAGAGACAGGGCTGATTAGCGTGTAAGAGAGAATAGAGAGTGTGAGAGACAGGGCTGATTAGAGACAAGAAAATGATCAAGGCTGAAGGAGACGTCGGTTGGAAGATAAGAGAGAGAGAGAGAGAGAGAGAGAGAGAGAGAGAGAGAGAGAGAGAGGAGAGAGAGAGAAGAGAGAGAGAGAGAGAGAGAGAGAGAGAGAGAGAGAAGGAAAATAAGAGACAAATAATGATAATTGAAGGAATGAAGAAAGGAATGAAAAGAAGAAAGAAAAGATTAAGAATGATAGAAAATAAAGAGAAAGTGTGATATGGAGAAAGACAGAGAGAGAGAGAAATATACAGAAAGAAGAGAGAGAGAAATAAAAGAGGAAGGGGAAAAAGAGAGAAAGAAAGAGAAAAATAAAGAAAACAAACAAAAATACTTCCATTTCTCCGCATTATATTTCATGTTAACATTTATAACAATAATCCTTGGACACTTTTGGGTGTTTTCCTGACCTCCATTAGTAAATCTCAGAGGTCAAAGGTCAACTAGAACAAGAACCTAGATAGAAAAGTAAAGTTGACCTCTGTACTAGGGGTCAGATGTAACTAAGGGTGAGAGGTCACAAGGGATGAGAGGTCACAAGGGAGAGAGGTCACAAGGGGAGAGAGGTCACAAGGGGTGAGAGGTCACTATAAGTAGGGTAGTGGAATGTGGGTTGTGATGTCCGAAACTTTGTCCCGGTGTGTGCTGGGTGGGGTGTGTACATGTGGCTATACACTAATACTTATATTATATACATATTGTAATATATAGGAATACATATAACAATTCTTATACACAGTCATACATATACGAGTAATAAATGCGTCCTAACACACACACACACACACACACACACACACACACACACACACACACACACACACACACACACACACACACACGTCAAACACACACACACACACACACACACACACACACACACACACACACGATGAACACTCCAAACACACACACACACACACACACACACACACACACACACACACACACACACACACACACACACACACACACACATACACTTCAAACACAAACACACACACACACACACACACACACACACACACACACACACACACACACACACACACACACACACGTGCGCGGGGAGATACAGAGAGACAAGGTCCTGGAGATATCTCTTTGTTTACCATACAGGAGACAGTCTCTCAGCCTGAGCCGGCCGGGTTTAAGGGAAGCCTCTCGTCTAATATGTTTGTTTCTCGGCGTCTGCTTAAGTGAGGGTCCTAAATCCTGCCATTATGTCCCGAGCGCTTGAGCGAATACTGCTGTTGTGTCTCTGGTGGTGGGGTGACGAGGGGTGCAGGTGGGGAGGGAAGGTGAGGGAGGGTGTGAGGGAAGGAGGGAGGGTGTGAGGAAGGAGGGAGGGTGTGGAGGGAGGGTCGGTGGGAGGGGTGGGAGGGAAGGTGAGGAAGGTGAGGGAAGGTGGGAGGGATGGGGGTGTGAGAGAGGGAGGAAAGGTGTGTGGGAGGGAGGGAGGGAGGGTGTGAGGAAGGAGGAGGGTGTGGAGGGAAGGAGGAGGGTGTGAGGGAAGGGGGTGTGGGAGGAGGAAGGATGAGGGAGGGTGGAGGGAAGGAGGGAGGGTGTGTAAGGGAGGAAGGTGTGTGGGAGGAAGGTATGTTGGAGGGAAGGTGTGGGGGGAGGGAAGGTGAAGGAGGTGAGAACAGGGAGGGGTGATAACGTGAAAGGATGTGGTAAAACAGCAAGAAAGAGAAAGAGGAGTGAAAGAATAAGAAAGAGAAAGTCAGAGAGAGAGAGAAAGAGAGGCAAATGAATACTGAATAAAAAGAAAGAGAAAATAGATATAAAAATAGACAGATAAATGGGAAGAGAGAGAGAGATAAAGATAAATAAAACAGAAGAAAAAAGAGAGAGAGAGAGAGAGAGAGAGAGTAATGCCTGTTGTATTGGTCGTTACTGAGTGTAACTGCGGCTTATCAGAGGTCCTTTATGTTGTGCTGTGTTAAGTGAATGTCCTCTCTCTCTCTCTCTCTCTCTCCTCATTTTCATTCCCTTTTCTATTAAAGAACACCAATATTACACCAAGACTTTACCTTAATTATAAACATTAAAATTTATATCCTCCATAATGACCAACGTCAGATACGACTCACGCTATTAAAATGTTCACCAAATTATACTGAGACTCTAACTTTAATTACGGCCGTTAACATCGTTCTCTCCTCCAGTTACAGATAGAAATAAACTTCCGGATCTCTGTGAATTCGGTTATCCGGATACTTAGTTCTTTTAACTGATTTTTTTTAATTATGTCCGTTATATCAGAGGTTAATGTCTATTATATCAGAGGTTGATGTCCGTTATATCAGAGGTTGATGTTCGTTATATCAGAGGTTAATGTCCGTTATATCAGAGGTTGATGTTCGTTATATCAGAGGTTAATGTCCGTTATATCGGTTAATGTCCGTTATATCAGAGGTTAATGTCCGTTATATCAGAGGTTAATGTCTGTTATATCAGAGGTTAATGTCTGTTATATCAGAGGTTAATGTCCGTTATATCAGAGGTTAATGTCCGTTATATCAGAGGTTAATGTCCGTTATATCAGAGGTTAATGTCCGTTATATCGAGGTTAATGTCTATTATATCAGAGGTTGATGTCCGTTATATCAGAGGTTGATGTCCGTTATATCAGAGGTTGATGTCCGTTATATCAGAGGTTAATGTCCGTTATATCAGAGGTTACCGTTATATCAGAGGTTAATGTCCGTTATATCAGAGGTTAATGTCTGTTATATCAGAGGTTATCCGTTATATCAGAGGTTAATGTCCGTTATATCAGAGGTTAATGTCCGTTATATCAGAGGTTAATGTCCGTTATATCAGAGGTTAATGTCCGTTATATCAGAGGTTAATGTCCGTTATATCAGAGGTTAATGTCTGTTATATCAGAGGTTAATGTCCGTTATATCAGAGGTTAATGTCCGTTATATCAGAGGTTAATGTCGAACACCTTGATAAATACCTTCTCTTATCAATAATATTTTAAAAACACTTCCAAAAATAACTACTCATTAACACCTTTTTTCTCGAGAATTACTTAAATCTATTCTAATAATTCTGTAACTCTTGGTGAAAAATAATTCCCCAATAATGTATTTCTGAGAATTTTGATGTCAGAGTTTGTAGCGTAAACTTTGGGGAAATATTTTAACAGCTGGAAACTTTTAGACTAGCGCCTTCCTGTGCAGCGATAATTTGTGTCAGGAAATACACACATTATTTCTCTGTGATATATTTCTTGAGCTCTTTGTGTCGTGGGAACATATTGTGAGAGATTATATTTATATTATGGGTGAAGTGAAGTGTGTTTTGATGGTGTGTTTTGAGAGAGGAGAGAGAGAGAGAGAGAGAGAGAGAGAGAGAGAGAGGAAGAGAATTAAAGACATAGAGAGAGAGAGAGGAGAGAGAGAGAGAGAGAGAGAGAGAGAGAGAGAGGAAGTGCCCCCTCATACACAAATAATAATAATTCTCTGCCATCATAAACTTGTTATACACCAAGAATTTCTCCTCCAGTGAACAAGCACACAGTATGTTATAGGTAAAGGCTCATCCCTACTGGGGGAGATAGATAGATAGATAGGATAGATAGATAGATAGATAGATAGATAGATGATAGATAGGATAGATAGATAGATAGATAGATAGATAGATAAAATAAATAAATAGATAGATAGATAATGTTATAGACAGTTTATTATTTTTGTGGCTTCATTTATAACACATGTTAACATATTCCTATAATGATGACCTTTGTGGGGTCTAGGAGGAGGAGAGAGAGAGAGAGAGAGAGAGAGTAGGAGAGAGAGAGAGAGAGAGAGAGAGAGAGAGAGAGGTTGAACAATTAATACATTTCGATACAACACACACACACACACCCACACACACACACCCACACACACACACCCACACACACACACACACACACACACACACACACACACACACACACACACACACACACACACACACACACACACCCACACACACACACACACACACACACACACACACACACACACACACACACACACACACACACACACACACACACACGGTATACTCTTCTACAGTCTCAGCGTCGTTTGAGGGACATTTTTATCAAGGACATAATGGCGTCCGTGTTCCTGTTAAGAGGAGTTTTTGTCCTACGATTATTTTATTATTAAGGTCAATTATAATGTAAAAATCTTGTGAGAATGTCTTTAAATCATGCTGTCTATCTATCTATCTGTCTATGTATGCATGTATGTATCTATCTATCTGTTTGTCTGTCTGTCTGTCTGTCTGTCTGTCCGTCAGTTTATCCATCTTTCTATCTACCTTTCCAATGACTCTCTCTCTCTTCATTTCACTTCGTATTACAGTACGGGTTCGTCAACTATGCCATCGAGCAGTTGGTGGTGAGAAACTTTGGCGACGACACCTGGGAGGATATCAAGTAAGTCAAATTAAAACACCGTCAATATTTAGGTGTTCCTTTTACCAAGTATGGAAAGTTAGGTTAGGTTAGGTTAGGTTAGGTTAGGTGATCCGTTTCTGGGGTGAACTATTTTTAACCCACATTATTTTTCCTTACCTTAATCCTTCTTGAAATAGCCCTTGAACCTGCGACTCTCTCTCTCTCTCTCTCTGAAGACGTCCTTCCTTCTTTCCTTCCTTCCTTCTTACTTTTCCTCATTCTTTCCCTCTCTCCCTCCTTCCTTATTTCCTTTCCTCTTTCCTTTCTTTCCTCTCCTCCCTCCCTCCCTCCTTTCCTTCAGTTTTCCTTCTTTCTCCCTCCTTTATCTCCTTCATTTCTTCCGACTTCTCTAATCATCTAAGACAAGGGAAAAATTATACATAAGGCTCTCTCCTCCTCCTCCTCCTCCTCCTCCTCCTCCCTCCTCCCTCCCTCCTTCCTCCTTCCCTCCCCAACGTCTGTTCTCTCCGTCCGTCCGTCTTAGCTTCATTAACTAAGCTTAACCATAGTCCAACCTGCTGATTGTCCACTTCGACCAATCACGACGCCTAATACGATTATCTGGGGATTATTATTACGTCAGCCAACAGGATTTATCGCCCTAAGAGCTTCCAACATTTTCTTAGGAGGAATTTATATATTTTTTAATGAGAATATATGATTTTTTTTTCTTTTCGAGGATTTTTTTTTTTTCAGGGAACTATTTGTTTTCAGGTGTTTTTTTTTCATGTGAATATATTATAGGTGTGTGTGTGTGTGTGTGTGTGTGTGTGTGTGCGTGTGTGTGTGTGTGTGTGTGTGTAAAGGCTTATACATACTGAGAGAAGAGTAGAAAGGAGAGGAGACGTAGAGATGGAAATAATTGATAGAGAGAGAGAGAGAGAGAGGTATCATGACCTCACAAGGAAGAAGAGGTTTTAATAACTGACTTCTGTATAATGGTAATGGTATTAAACCCAGTAAGGACCTGAAGATGTAGAAGCAATGGTGGAAACCTTTGTATGTAAATGATGTGGGAAGGGGGTGGGAGTGGTGGGAGGGGGTGGTGGTGTGGTGGTGGGGTGGTGGTGGTGAGTGGTGGTGGTGGTGGTGGTGGTGGTGGGTGTGGGTGGTGGTGGTGAGGGTGAGTGGTGAGTGGTGGTGGTGGTGGTGGTGAGGGTGGTGGTGGTGAGGGTGAGGTGGTGGATGGTGGTAGAGGGTGGTGATGGTGGTGGTGGGCGGTGAGTGGTGGTGAGTGGTGAGGCGGTAGGAGAGATGGTGATGATGAGTGGTGAGGGTGGTGGTGGTGATGGTGATGATGAGGGTGAGTGGTGGTGGTGGTGGGTGGTGGTGGTGAGTGGTGAGTGGTGGTGTTGTTGATGGTGGGTGGAGTAGTGTGGAGATGAATTACAACTAGTGGAGTTGGTGGTAGGAGTGGAGTCTTAGAGGAACAATAGATTGAAATAATTAAAACCTGGACGAGACGCAAATGATAAAGAAGAAGAAGAAGAAAAAGATGATGATGATGGAAGAAGAAGAAGTGGGTGTGAAAAATAGGTGAAGAGAAATGGGATGAAAGAAGGAGGATGATAGAGATGAAAGAAGGAAATTGTGGGGGCGAGGATTCTTTTTTAGGAGGGAAGGAATTGGTGGTAAGAATGAGGTGAACACTGATGATGGCAGAGGAGAGGAGGAGGAAGAAGAGGAAGGTGGGGTGATGAAGGAGGTGATGAAGGATGGAAGATAGGAGGAAGAAGAGGAGATGGAAGGCAGGAGAAAGAGGAGGAGGCGAGTGGGAAAAGGAGAAGATGAAGAAGAAGAAGACCATGAAAACAACACCACACCCACCACCACCACAACAACAAACAAACAACAACAACACCACCACCACCACCACAGCAACAACACCAAACAAACAAACAAAAAAACAACTACAACCCCAGACAAAAACAACATACAAGACAAGGCAGTAATGAGACATCTTGTTCTCAAAAGCAAAAACATTTTACCAGAAACAAAAACAATGAAAATTATGACAAGGAAAAACAAATGACTTTTTTTTTTTGTAATTATTGTGAAGTTTTCCTCCTTTTCTCTCTCCCTCACGAGTATAATTACGAGGGGCAGATCCTGGTGTTGGAGATATGATGGAGAAGAAAGAGATGATGGTGGGGGTGTGTTGGAGATATAAGAGATGGTAGGGGTGTGTTGGAGATATAAGAGATGGTGGTGGGGGGTGTGTTGGAGATATAAGAGATGGTGGTGGAGGTGTGTTGGAGGATATAAGATGATGGTGGGGGGTGTGTTGGAGATATAAGAGATGATGGGGGGTGTGTTGAGATATAAGAGATGATGGGGTAAGGAGATATAAGAGATGGTGGTGGGGGTGTGTTGGAGTGATATGAGGAGATGTAATATTGAGGATAATAATAATAATAAATAATAATAATAATAATAATACGAATAGCATATAATAAAAAGGATACACACACACACACACACACACACACACACCCTTTCTTCCTGGAGTAAATATAGTCTCAATAACTCCATAAGACATAATATCTCATGGTTTATGGCCTTATGTCTGATGGATCACCCGGAGGCACGAAGGAATGTTTCAGGGTGATCTGCAGCTGCCGGGGTCCTAAAATTCGGCGTTTGAGTGTGTTTTGTGGGTGGGTGGGGTGGGGGTGGGTGGGGTGGAGGGGTGGGGTGGGTGGGAGGGAGGTGGTTAAAATTTATTGGTTTGTGATTGAAGAGAGAATTATCTGTGTGTGTGGTTTTAGGCTCTCACCATTATCTCTCACCGTTACAGGAGGGAGGCAGAGGTACATATGGAAGGGTCGTTCTTAGTACGACTCACCTACGAGGATGAGATCACCTACAACATCGTCGCAGCTGCTGAGAGGGTCCTAGGTGAGTGTTTACAGTAATTTACATTTTTACAGGTTTTTTTACGGTTTTACAATTTTTAGGTTTTTTATTTTTTTTTACAATATATATTTCTTATATATTTTTTTACAGTATTTACTTTTATATTTTTTACAGTATTTACTTTTTAAAATGTTTATATTTTTTGCCTTTGTGCAGTTTTTATAATATTGATTTTGTATGATTTGTTTTTATAATATTTACGTTTTTTGGGCAATTTTGTTGTTGTTTTTCTTTTTTATTATACGTTTTTCTACCATTTTTTTATATAATTTAGCTGTTTTTATATAGTTTACATTATTTACATTTTTTTAATTTGTTTTAATATTTATGGTTTTAGTTTTTTTTTTTTGCAATAGTTACGTTTTTTTTACTCCTTTTACATACTTTTTACGTTTTTCACATTGTTTATGATATTTAGTACATTTCTACATATTTTTTTTACAATCCCGTCGTAAGTTATAAAGCTAAACCTAAGTTATATCACAACAATTAATCCTACAATATTTACAATGACTTACGATATTACAGAATTGTTACAAATATCTACTGTATTTTCATATTTACAATTATTTAATTTATCTATCTATATAATTATCACCTGAAGTATTTAATTATCATATATACAAGTTTTAATATAATAATTAATGTAAATATACAGATAATTAATTTGTATATATATTACGTTCATTTTTATAACGAAGTGAACGAAAAATATTCATGACAGGACATTAAATGAGCGAAAGTTAAAGACAAATGAATAATACATCTTTTCCGTCCACATAAATTCTGATCTGTCCTAAAAGTTTCAATTTATATCATGATTTTTCAATGAATTAATTCACGGATGAAATAAAAATCCGATTTGTATTCTTTTACTCTTGTTGTGTAATTTTTAGCTAAGAAACAATTAAATTTATGTAGATTTTTTTTTACGGAAAATGCAATGGATGTGTGTGTGTGTGTGTGTGTGTGTGTGTGTGTGTGTGTGTGTGTGTGTACACGGTGTGGATACTCAGTGTACACAGTGTGGATGGATAGTCAGCATACCAGTATACACGGTGTGGGTACACTGGGGTATCCATCTCAGCCACGACACCCACACACACACACAGAGGCCATGCTAAGACGCCCAGGAAATGTCTTAATAAAATAACTGGAATGAGAAAGACATTTTTTTTGGCTGAGTCTAAGAAGAAAAGTTTGTGAGTTAGTGGTGATGTCTTCCTGTTCTCTCTTTCTTTCTTTTATCTCTCTCTCTCTCTCTCTTTGACTCAACCCTATACAACCTTTTCATCCCCCCCCCTCTCTCTCTCTCTCTCTCAGCATAAATATTATCTCAGGATCTCGTCTTAGCTGTGTACATAGACTTCTGTTTGTTCAAGATCGTTCCACTGATTCCCTTGACCTTACTACTGCCAGGCGTAGTGTGGGGCGGAGCTCTCTAACACAACCACTGTGTCTCATCACCCAGCGTGTGTTAGTAATGTGAGGAATACTGTAGATTAGGTGCTGTGGTAGAGTGGTTATTGCCTTGGCCTGGTTTTTAATTGGAGATCCTTAGTTCGATTCTAATAAGGATGATGAGAGTAATGATAATAATAATAGTAATGATGATGATGATAATAATAATAGTAATGATGATGATGATAATAATAGTACTATTACTGCTACTACTACTACTACTACTACTACTACTACTACTACTACTACTAATAATAATAATAATAATAATAATAATAATATTAATAATATTAATAATGATAATAATAATTATGATGATAATAATAATAGTAATAATAATAATAATAATAATAGTAATAATTATAATAATAATAATAATAATAATAATAATAATAATAATAATAATAATAATATTAATAGTAATAATAGTAATTATGATGATAATAATTATTAAGGATGTCACCTTCGTTGGTGAGTTTTGAGGTGACCAGAGAGACCAATACGGGACCGGCAGGGTCGGGAGGGGCGGCGGCAGTGTCTTTCCGGCGTTACCGCTTTTCCGGCGTTACCGCTTGTCTGCCTTGGTATGCAGTCGGGCTAACTCAAAAGTATTGACACCTTCTTGTGTGGTGCTCCTCCAAGCGTTACGGTGTGGAGTGATCGTCTCCCAGGTGAGGGGGTCGATTTGGCACTTTTCGGGTTTGTCTTAAGACTATCCTTATACCTTTTCAGTTGTCCGCCAGCGTTACGTTTACTATTCGTTAGGTGACTGTAAAGTAGCTGCTTTATCAGTCTACTGTCGTCCATGTGGGTAACATGGCCAGTCCAACGTAGTTGTTCATGGATAATGGTAGGTTCGATGCTCCTACAGTTGGTGTCAGCGAGAATACTGGCATTTGTTCTCTTGTCTTCCCAGCGAACTCGAATGATAGAAAACTACGTTGGTGAAAATTTTTAAGTGACCCATGTCTCGCTGCCATATAGCAGGGTGGGTAGGACCACTGCTCGATATACATGCAACTTTGTAGATAATTTTAGCTCCCTACAGCTGAAGATACGGGTACGGAGTCTGCAAAATGCACATCTGAGCCAATGTTGAATTTCATCAGGGCCTGAGGCTTTGTTATTTTTTATCGGTTTGATGGCAGTAGCTACCTCATCCAGGGATGGAGGATAGCTGAGGTGGGTCAGCTCTGGATGCTGAGGGACCCGTTAGATAGTCAGGACATCCACATCGGTGTTTCGGTTGAACAGTGAATGGCAGTGCTCTTTCCAGCGCTGAAGGAGGCCTTCATCGTCTTTAGTTATGGAGTTACCATTGGATGAACGGAGGGGGGCTGCACCACGAGTGATTGGCCAATAAAATGTTTTGTGTAATTGAAAATTTCGCGCATCTTGTGCTGATCTGCAAGTTTTTGTGTTTCACATGCTTTATTTTTTACTTAAAAAGGACTTTCAGCACAGTTACAGTACAACAGAGAGGATAGGTTAGGTGTGTGTGTGTGTGTGTGTGTGTGTGTGTGTGTGTGTGTGTGTTGAGGTGTTGGACGAGGAATCTCAAGTGGTAGCAGGTGGCGGTAGCGAGGATAATTTTTGTAGTAGTAGTAGTAGTAGTAGTAGTAGTAGTAGTAGTAGTAGTAGTAGTAGTAGTAGTAGTAGTAGTAGTAGTAGTAGTAGTAGTAGTAGTAGTAGTAGTAGTGGTGGTGGTGGTGGTGGTAGTGGGTGGCCTGACCGTCTTCAACTCATCTTTTGTTTACCTTCACGTCCCCTCTGGCGGCAGGTGCAGACACTAACACCCATCTTCCCTGTTGACGCGCCACCCAAACACACCCACCTGGCGACGGGGGAAAAAGACGAACCAGAGTTTACATGGCGTATTTGTTGCTGTGTGACTCTAGGCGTATGGTGCAGAAAGGAGGGAGAGATGGAGGAGGGGGGGAGGGGGATTTTCACCAGGATGTGGCTACCAGTGGAAGGTATTTTTATATCGATGGTGGAAATGAGGATATTTTCAGTGGGGTATGGTGCTCTCTGTCTGTCTGTCTGTCTGTCTCTCTCTTGCTGTCTCTATCTTTCTCTCTGTCTTTTTATCTTTCTCTCAGAGTCTTGATCTCTCTCTCTCTCTCTCTCTCTCTCTCTCTCTCCTACGACTCAAGAGCAAGGTTATTTTCACCGGGGTGTGGCTCCAGGTGAAGATATTTGCCCGTAAATGATGGCCAAGGGAGCTATTTTCACCGGCGTATGGCTCTAGCCCGCTGTCTTGCCTGTTTACAATGGCGTATTTGTTGTTCCATGACTCGATGGGACGTAAAAATAGGGTAAGGTTATTTTCACTAGGATATGGCACCAACTGGCCCTATATTCACCTGCATATGGTACCCTGGGAGTTATTTTCAAGGAGATGGAGGGACATCAGGTTTATTTCACCCGGATATGGCACCAGAAGACGTTATATTCAACAGGATCAAGCGCTGGAGGAGTTGCTTTTACGATAATGGCGAGTCAGGATGTTAATTTTAGTGGAGTACGGCATTAGCAACTTCTGACGTTTCCGCTGACTCAGAAAAAAATTATTCAAGTCATCTCTCTCTCTCTCTCCCTCCAGTTTACCATAGTCTCTCTAACTCACTCTGCACTCACTCTCACTTTCCTTCTGTTTCACTCTCGGTCACTCACCCATTTTCTATTCTATCATACAATCCATAGTCTCACTCACTCACTCACTTTACTTCCAGGTGTACCAGCTAACGCGATCTTGGAAATGTTCGGCAAAATGTTCTTTAAGTTCTGCCAAGAGTCAGGTTACGACACCATCTTACAGGTGTTGGGAGCTACCGTCAGTGACTTCCTCCAGGTGAGTTCCTTAATTAACCTGTCACACTATTCCTCATTACTCACACAAATACACAACAAACACTATGTAAGCAAAATCTCGTTAAGGAAAATCCCCAATAGGAAAAAAATCACCAAGGAATGTAATTCCAACTGTATGTGTGTGTGTAATAATAATAATAATAATAATAATAATAATAATAATAATAATAATAATAATAATAATAATAATAATAATAATAATACTGATAATAATAATAATAAACGGTTTATTAATAGAGTTGCAGCCGGTGGCTGAAAATATACAAACTTACATTTGATTTAGACAATGATATGCGTTGAATACATTCACAGGGCTGTACAGTAAATAAATCAGGAGCTGCTTATTATTTTAACAATAGCTGGGATGGTGCTGTTCTTATATCTATCGGTGCGGGCTCTTATGGGCTGAATTTTGTTGTAGTGGCGGACTGCTCGAGGTGGGTGGGGGACTGCCGGTGGCAGGAGGTGGCGATGACGAGGATGGTGCAGTAGTCCACTGCCAAACCTTACTAGTGCTTGGTGGTGGAGGTCACTGAGGGATGGCATTTCCAGGGTGGAGAGAGCGTTGTTGTAGCCGGAGTATTCTGCTCCGAGCATGATTCTGCAGGCCCTTTTCTGTACCTTCTCTAGCTGACGTTGTTGGGTGGAGTTGAGAGAAGACGACCAGGCTGGTGACGCATACGTTAGTTTGGGGAGAATAAAGGCGTTGTAGATGGTCCTCAGCTCTGGCGTGGGTGTCCCAAGTGACCTGAGTCGTCGTAGCATGTGTGTGTGTGTGTGTGTGTGTGTGTGTGTGTGTGTGTGTGTTTTTTTCCACTTGTTGCAGCACACTTTCTCCTCACACCCTGTAGAGTGTATTGGTCGAGTGTTGGATCAGTAAAGTTAGCAATCAACTCAAATCAGATGCAGGTTGTTGAACTATTGTTGAAGGGGACCAATTGTGTGCCCAACTTTGTTATGAAAGTGTCTGTGTGTGTGTGTGTGTGTGTGTGTGTGTGTGTGTAATAATAATAATAATAATTAAAGGTTTATTGAAAAAATTCTGCAGCCCGAAGACTGAAAATATACATTGGACATAAATGATTTATTACATACATTGGTGGTTTAACAAAAGCCTTCATTAGAGAAAGGTGAAGGAACATACAGTGAACATACAGATTAATGTAGGTGTTGAACAGCAAACTCGTAGTGTAGTAACTCCCTCCCAGATGGTGTTAGGAGGAACTCACGTGGTGTAATAGTTCCCTCAGATGGTGTTATGAGGGACCTGGCGTGGTGTAGTAATTCCCTCGCAGATGGTGTTATGAGGGGCCTCACGTGGTGTAGTAATTCCTTCACAGATGGTGTTAAGAGGGACCTCACGTGGTGTAGTAATTACCTCACAGATGGTGTTATGAGGGACCTCACATGGTGTAGTAATTACCTCACAGATGGTGTTATGAGGGGCATCACGTGGTGTAGTAACTCCCTCACAGATGGTGTTATGAGGGGCATCACGTGGTGTAGTAATTCCCTCACAGATGGTGTTATGAGGGGCCCGACGTGGTGTAGTAATTCCCTCATAGATGGTGTTATAGGAGTGAGGTTTGGTCTTAGGCCTTCCTATCGTAGACGGATTAACACATCGCTAGTTGTTGTTGGGTCTCACGGGCCGTTATCACTGGGTACCTGGGACCTCACTGTGTGAAGGTTAACTTGGGTACGACTGTTACTGTTGAGTTGTTCTCACTGACTTAAGCACTGTTTACCACTGTTCACCTCTGTTTAACACTGGTTCCGTTCCTTTCCTAAATGAAATTGTACCTTCTGGCGAGAACTTGTTGATATTCCGGTGGGGAGGAGGGTTCAGGGGAGGGGGTTGGTATGGGCCAACTTAACCTGGCTGCTCCGAGAGGAGCGCCAGGTACGTCTTGACCCTTCGGTGGTCAAGGATGTAGTGTTGTGTGTGTGTGTGTGTGTGTGTGTGACAGAGAGAGAAAACGTCACTCCTTGCCACTCAGAACTTACCATCCCTGTCACTCACACATCCACCCTTGCCACTCAGACTTGAACTTACCTCATCCCCCTCTCACTCCACTCCTCCCCGTTACGTTATGTCACTCAAGTCACTCAGAGAAGAAGTTTTTAAATCACCCTCACGTGTCACCCACTCAGAAGTGACGGACATGTAATCAGAAATGAGGTAGTGAAGATGGTGGGAACTCACTCACCTTCCTGGGGTAAAAATAAACAGATTTTTGAGGGACTTAGAGTGAGTTTTAGAAGCGAGAAGAAATTGAGTTTTTTTTGGTAATGGAGGAGTGATTTTGTGTATGAGAGAGACAGAGAGATAGAGAGAGATATAAAGGTGGTAAGAGAGAGATATAAAGGTGGTAAGAGAGAGATAGAAAGAGAGAGAGATAAATAGAGAGATAGAGGGCAAAGAAAGAGAGATAGAGGGAGAGACGATGAAAGGGGGTAGTTATATAAATATGGAGAGAAAGATAGAGATGTGTAGAGAGAGAGAGAGAGAGAGATGGAAGAGAAGAGAAAGTGAGAAAGTTTTATTTTAAGGAAAGAAAGATGGGGAGATATTTAGAGAAGGATGAGAGAGAGAGATAGAGAAAGGTAAAGATGGATAGGAGAGAGAGAGAGAGAGAGAGAACATGTAATGAAAGAAATGAATGAAATGAGAACGAACTAAAAAAAAATGATAAGAATGTCGTAATATATAAACAGTGAGAAATATAGAGAAATAAAACAATGTGGGATAAAAGGCAACGAATGAAATGAATGAAGTAAGAATGAATTGAACGAAGCAAGATTGAAATAAATGAAGCAAGATTGACACGAATGAAGCAAAACTGAAATGAATGAAGCAAGATTGACACGAATGAAGCAAAACTGAAATGAATGAAGCAATGAATGAAATGAATGAAGCAAAATTAAAATGAATGAAGTAACAATGAAATGAATGAAGCAAAATTAAAATGAATGAAGTAACAATGAAATGAATGAAGCAAAATTAAAATGAATGACGTAACAATGAAATGAATGAAGCAAAATTGAAATGAATGAAACATTGAATGAAATGAACGAAGCAATGAATGAAAGGAATGAAGCAAGAATAAAATGAAGGAAGGGAAGGGAACTTTGAGAAGCATTACACCGAAAAAAAAATTATGTTATTAAGAAACTTTGGTGGAGACGATTTTCTTAAACGTGTGTTTGTATGATGCCTTCTCGTTAGTATCCTCACCTAGGTAGAGTCAATATTCTGCGTCAGGTTAACTAAACAAAAGAGATTAATTCACTTACCTGTCAATATATGTCAATTAAGCCGCCATGCATATATTTATATCTTAATTACTCATCCACCTGTCCATTCACCCACCTGTATGTTCATTTACCTGTCCATTTATCCACCTGTCTATTTCATCCACTCCACCACACATCCACACCCCCCCCCAACCACCAAACACACATTCACCCCAAAACTCATCTTTACCTTCATTCATCCATTCATCCACTCATCTACACATCCACTCCACCACTCATCCACGCATCCAATTATCTACACATCCATTCATTCACCCCACAACTCGTCCACTCATCCACACCTCCACTCATCCAGACACATCCATACATCCACTCATCCACACCACAACAAATCCACTCACCCCACACGTCTGCACACACATACCCACACCAACCACTCATCCACATATCCACACTAAGAATTCCTACCTTAAAACTCAACCTATTTCGCCAAAGGTCTCAGGACTTCCACAAAAGACTATTTACACTTAAAGAAAAAGTAAGGAAAAAAAAAGTTAAAACAAACTTAAGTTCTTTTCCTTAATTCTTCTTTTTTTTTCCTTTTCATTTCGACCAACCACTAATTTACGTTCTCAAAGACGAAGATTCTAATTGGTCCTCAGCAGAGTCGGGGACCTTAAGGGCATGATTTCAATTGGTCGGATGGGTATTTTATCTGGACTACTGATTGGTCCCTCAGATCATAGAGGTCATCCCCAGGTTATGGAACTTTTTTTTTAATATATTATCTGATGGTTTTGTTCATTTCGATTTGGATGTATATGTTTGGGTAAGGGGGAGGGGGCATTTTGGGGGGATTCTTTGGGGGAGATACCGGTGGAATAATATTTTTATGAGTTTGATATTTTATTTATTTATTTATTTATTAGCTGGAGGAAGGTGTTCTCTTTATGTTCTCAAACGATCCAAGGGTCTTCTTCAACTTCTTCTCTTTCTTTCTTCTTTCTTCTTCTTCTTCTTCTTTCTTCTTCTTCTTCTTCTTCTTCTTCTTCTTCTTCTTCTTTCTTCTTCTTCTTCTTTCTTCTTCTTTCCACTGCCATCATCAAGTGCTGGGGATCCCTCTCAGAAGATCTTTTGATGATGCTATTTTTATATTATAATTATGTAAGCAGCGTCTCTTCTCCCTCTCTCTCACTAAGAAACATTCGCACTATCACCTTTCACCCACTACCACCTTAACCACCACCAAACTCATCACCACCACCAAACTCATCACCACCACCTATAACCCATCACCACCACCTATATAACCTATCACCACCAATTATTATTATATAACCCATCACCACCACCTATAGCCCATCACCACCTATAACCCATCACCACCAATCTATAAACCCACGACATATAACTCACTACCACCCCACCTATGTCCATTAGCCATCACCTATAACCCATCACCACCACCTATAACCCATCACCACCACCTATAACCCATCACCACCACCTATAACCCATCACCACCACCTATATCGCATCACCACGTATAACCCATCACCACCACCTATAGCCCATCACCACGTATAACCCATCACCACCACCTATAACCCATCACCACCACCTATAACCCATCACCACCTCCTATTACCCATCACCACGTATAACCCATCACCACCACCTATAACCCATCACCACCACCTATAACCCATCACCACGTATAACCCATCACCACCACCTATAACCCCTTCACCTCCTTCAACAGAACCTGGACGCCCTACACGACCACCTGGCCTTAATCTACCCAGGTATGAAGGCGCCCAGCTTCAGGTGCACAGAGAGGGCGGAGGACGGCGCCCTTATACTCCACTACTACTCCGACCGGCCTGGGCTTGAGTACATCGTCATCGGCATCGTCAAGGTGAGGAGGGAGGTCTTTGTTAGGTGTTTTCTTATCTTCGTCAGGTAGGTTCTCTGTGGTTGGGTTTACTTAAATGTTATGATTTTATTTACATAGTATACATATATGCATCCAGGGAATTGATCATGTACACTCGCACCAAAAAGTATCGGTGCAGGGTGAGATCGACGACTTCCGAAACGATAGGTATACACTGTGATATGTCAGGAAGGTTGGTAGGTGGTTCATAACCTCCCCACCAGGTGCCGTGCTGGCGCGGGCGGCTGACAATCAGTGTGTTTGTTTCCTCTTTTCGGATTGTTGCTTTGTGTCGACTGAATGATGAGCGAGGGTTCGGTCTCGGTGAACGTGGATATAAAACAGAGGCAATATGAAGCAGTAGAGATCTACACAGGCCAGACGACATGGAATCCTCAGAGGGAACACGAGGAGCTATCATTGCCCTTCATAACGAAGGGTTCGGCGTCACAGATATTTGCCGGCGGGTTGGTGTCCACAGGAACACCGCTGCACGATGGATTCGGCGATACCTCGAAACTGGTGCTACAGACGACAGGTCTCGGAGCGGCCGTCCACGCTGCACCACGACCAGATTGAGTGGTTTATTTGGCAGCATAAATTAATGTGGCAATATTCACAAGTATCACAAATAATTTTGTTAACAGGGAGCTCCTCATATTTCATACTGTCTATTTATCACTTCCCGACCTTATTTATAACCGTTTGTTTCACTTGACCAGGGCAAAGTAGCTGTTTGTGATGCAGCTCAGCAGGATTACAGGGCTGCCAACATATGGCTGGAACAACTCGCCTTTCCCAAAACCTATCGTCACTGGTCTCAAATTGTTCACACTACAGTATGCGCCGATACTTTTTGTTGCGCGTGTACATATACACACGTCACTTCCACATACACACACACGTCACGTAGACATACATACGCGTCACACACACACACTCTGACGTCTTGTACACACACACACACACACACACACACACACACACACGTACGCCCACATCACTGACCCACACCGCTTAACCACCATATTTCTTCATGATGTGTCGGGATGATCGTGTTTGTTTGGGCGTGTCCGGGATGAGTGGGCGGGTGTGAAGAACTGGCGCAGCGTGAGTTAGTGGACGTGGGTGGTGAGTTATGGGTGTGGGTTGTGAGTCATGGGCATGGGTTATGAGTCATGGGCTGTTTAAAAGAACAGCCTCAACCAACAACATTTTTACCCACAAACGAACGATAATTGTCTATGTTTCTCGCTCAGCTAAGTGAACTACCTCGCTAAATATAAATAAAGTGTCCCCTTAAAGCCTGGAGAACGGACCGTATCCTTCCTAGGTGGGGAGAGTTGTGTGTTTGGAGCAGATGTTTTTCCTACGTGTTTCTTAGTTTAAGTTTGTGTTGAGTTGGGTGTGGTGTGGTGTGGTGTGGTGTGGTGTGTTGTGGTGTGGTGTGTTGTGTTGTGTTGTGGTGTGTTGTGGTGTGGTGTGGTGTGGTGCGGTGTGGTGTGGTGTGGTGTGTTGTGTTGTGTTGTGTTGTGTTGTGGTGTGTTGTTAAGGGAGGGTTGCCAGCTAGCGTCATCTGCCATATTTAATTGATGTTATTGTCAGTTTAAGTAGATATTTATTTTACTTGTTTATAAAATTTAATGATGTTTTAGTGATTTGAATGTGAGTGTCTCTAGTAGTGTAGATGAACCATCCCAATTAAGACTGACCTCATTCTATTTCTGTTAGGTTAGGTTAGGTTAGGTTGGGGTGGTTACGTTAGGTTAGGTTAGGGTAGGTTAGGTTAGGTTAGGTTAGGTTAGGTTAGGGTGGGGTGGTTAGGTTAGGTTAGGTTAGTTAGGGTGGAGTGGTTATTCTTCAGGCGATATAAGCTAGGGCAACTATCCTTCAGGTGACCCGGAGCACCTGGTCTGCTGTACGAAAAAGGTCCAACTTTTTTCCTAAACAAAAAATTCCTAAAAATATTTCTTATGAGCACCATAAGCGTGAACTATCAACAAACAAACAAACAATAAGGAAACTGTAAACAAAGATGAATATTTTTTATGCAGTAAACAAAAAACAAACACCAATCAAAAAATACCGAGGGAAGCAAACATTAGGAGGTTCACTGCATCGGGGTCAAAGAGCGTCAAACGTAAACAAAGGCATAGTATCGGGGTCAGGCCGGGGTCCCCGACCACGTGGGATTGGTCAGCTCATTTGATTGTCCTGTAAGACCTTGGTGGTATGGTCAGCTGGATGAGGGTGAGGGGAGGGGAGTGGTGAATAAAGGGGAGGGGTGAGGAGGGGTGAGAGAGAAGGGGGTAGGGGAGAGAGAAGAGGGAAGGGTGAAGGGGACAAGATTTGAGAGAGGAGGGAAAGGGGATAGGTGAAATGGGGGATTAAAGGGTAGATTGGGGGGTGAAGGAGAGGGGAGATGGAGGAGGGGAGGGGAGGCGTGAAGGGGGGAAGAGGAGAGGGGGGATTAAGGGGAGATCAGAGGAGAGAGAGAAATTGTCAAGAAAAACAAAAATTGGTTGAAAATTGGGACAAAATAGGAATATTCAGACAGGAAACAGAGAATTAAGACAAAATGGGTAGAAATTGGGAGGAAATGGGTCTCTTAGTAGATAAATTTAGCAACTTGACCCACTCAAATTTTTTTTCGGAAAAATAGGGAAAATTTGGATATATTATAATTACCACAAACAATTAAAAAAATGCCATGAAATTGTAGACAAATTGGGAGAAGTAGGCCCTTAAAATCTAAAATTGGCAACTTGTCCTACTGATTAGTACCGCAAAGGATATTCGACCAAAAAGATGAGAGCAATAGGGATGAAATAGGGTGCAAATAGGGATAAAATTGGGCAGGGAGTGTCGCTGTTCACCTCCCTATCTCGACTACATTGAACCAACGAGTCAGATAATGAGCCAATTTCCTCAGTCTCCCCTTTACCCCCCTTCCTCTCTCCCCCTCCCCTTCCTCCCTCACCCCTCCCTAACTCGTCCTGTGACCGTGGCTATGTAGGGATATTCGTCCCCCTTAACCCCTAATAATGACACCCCTTAACCCCTTAGAATAATATCCCTTAACGCCGTAGACTGATACCCCTTAACCCCTTAGCATTATACCCTTAACCGCTTAGAATGATACCCTTAACCCCATAGAATGATACCCATTAACCCCTTAGCATAATACCCATTAACCCCTTAGCATAATACCCATTAACCCCTTAGCATGATACCCTTAACCCCTGAGAATGATACCCTTAACCCTTGAGAATGATACCCTTAACCCCTTCGCATGATACCCTTAACCCCTTAGCATGATACCCTTAACCCCTGAGATTGACATCCCTTAACCCCTTAGAATGATACCCTTAACTCCTTAGAATGATACCCCTTAACCCCTTAAAATTTGACCCCTTCAACCCCTTAGAATTATACCCCTTTACCCCTTAGACTTAGAATGACATCCCTTCACCCCACAGAATAATACCCTTAACCCGTTTAATCCTTTAGAATTATACCCCTTAACCCCTTTAATAATACCCTTAACCCTTTAGAATTTTACCCCTTAACCCCTTAGATTTTAACCCTTTAACCCTTTAGAATGATAACCATTGTTCTAGACTAAACGATAGCTCTTATTATCGTATTACGTTACCCATCAAGAATTACAATACCTTATTACACTACTAACATAGAGCCGTGTACTCAACCCCACCCCACCCCACCCCACCCCGCCCCACCCCACCCCACACCGCCCCACCCCACCCCACCCCACCCCACCCCACCCCACCCAACTCCCTCTCCTCCCCACCTCCCCACACTGCCCCCCGCCGCCCATCGCGTCAACAATATCAGCTGACTGGTTCATTCATACTCCACTTGGCCAGCTGGTCTGGGTTTACGCCTTCCTCCCTCACCGCGTAGTCCATCACCCCTATTTCTCTCTCATTCTTGATCTCATTCTACACACACACACACACACACACACACACACACACACACACACACACACACACACACACACACACACACACACACACACACACACACACACACACACACACACACATACACACACACACACACATATGCTGGTTGTAGGATCTCTGTCTTTCTCTCGCTCTAGGTCTTCCCTCCCTCCCCTCCCTCCTTCCCTCCCTCCCTTCCCTCCCTCCTTCCATCCTCCCTTCCTCCCTTCCTTCCTCCTTCCCTCCCTCCCAACCTTCCCTCCCTCCCTTCCCTCCACTGGTAATGAATCATATGGGTTACAACAGCGCCAAGGACCGGAATAATTAATAGCCAGTTCCGTCGCTCGGGAATCTGGGAATGGGAATGATGTGTATAATCAAGTGTAGAGAATTCGGGAATAGTCTATGAAGTCAAGTTTCGGGAATGTGGGAATGTTGGGAATTGGTCAGTGGAGGATAATTTAGTGGTTGGGAGTGAGAGGGAGTGAGAGGGCCGGAGGGAGGGCCGGAGGGAGGGCCGGAGGGAGGGGTAGAGGGGGGGGTAGGGGGTTAGTTAATGTGTGTGTGTGTGTGTGTGTGTGTGTGTGTGTGTGTGTGTGTGTTAGAGAGAGAAAGAGAGAGATAAATCAATGGATAAGTCAGTCAGTCACTCAATCAATCAGTCAGTCAGTCAGTCAGTTAGTTAGTCAGTCAGTCAGTTAGTCAGTCAGTCAGTTAGTCAGTCAGTCAATTAGTTAGTCAGTCAGTCAGTCAGTTAGTCACATAATAAAGTTCTTGAATCAGCTCAAATTCCTCACCCTGAGAAGTTTAGTTAAGAAAAGCTAAAAAAATATAAGAAAAAATAATAACGTTTCCCTTAAAAGCTAAATTTGGTCCAACCAGCTAATTTCACGCTAACTGCCCACCACTTGCAGTTAACTGGTCGTCACGCTAATTATCTGCTTGTGATAGGTCATTAACAGCCTCGTTACAGCTGTTTGCGTTGGTGATTAAGAGTTGTTTGGTTTGGGTTGTTTGTGTGAGGGTAGTTAATAGTTGTTTGTGTCTGGTTGTTTGTGTGAGGGTAGTTAACAGTTGTTTGTTTTTATTTTTGTACTGCTCTCTCTATATCTATCTATCTATCTATCTATCTATCTATCTATCTGTCTATCTATCTATCTGTCTATCTATCTATCTGTCTATCTATCTATCTGTCTATCTATCTTAACAATCATCCAATTTTTAATCATATAAATTTGTTAGAAAATATTTACCATCATAATGTGATGATAATGTGATGATAATGATGATGATGATGATGATGATGATGATGATGATGATGATGATAATAATGATGATGAGAGTAATAATAATAATAATAATAATAAGAAGAAGAAGAAGAAGAAGAAGAAGAATGGTGGAATATTTGGGCTGTGAGAAGGAACAAAAACAACAACAATAACAACAACGACAAAGGAGTGAGAATAAACGAATTATTAACGTACAGTAAACACGGAGAGTTTGTGTACTGTACGTGGACGTGGGGGCACGGACAACACGCACGTACACTGCACTTTTAACCTAACCTAACCTAGCCTAACCTAACCTAACCTAACCTAACCTAACCTAACCTAACCTTCTCCAACTACCACACGTCACACCTGTACAGTATTAAACGTGAATTGAACCAAAATCCTTCCTGCCCATCTCTTTACTGACGTCATAGTAACCACGAACCAATCAGCGCCCTTTTTTTAAGTAGGAAGTGACCAATCAACTCACGACAAGACCTAAAAAAAAAAATTATCTTAAAATTCCTCTCGGATGGCCTCTACTGACGTCATGCTCGGCAATAACCAATCAGCGTGCGTCACACCCGGAAAAATGTGGATTCTGCTCAACCCTGGACCGGATCTGGCGCGCTCAGAGAGGTCTTAAACTTGTGAAGTCTTGGTTAAAGCTTTACCGCCGACAACTTGAAGTAGTGAAGTTTTATGTGAGGAATTTTGGCTCCTGTGTCTGTGAGGAGGAAGAGGAGGAAGAGGAGGAGGAGGAAGAAGAAGAGGTAGGGGAGGAGGAGGAAGAGGGTCGAGAAAGAAGGGGTAAGAGAGGAGGAGAGGAAAAGTGGGTGGTGATGGAGAAGAGAGAGTAGGAGAAGGTGGTGGAGAAGGGGAAGAGGGGTGGAGGGGACAAGGAAGGAAAAGGAGGAAGAAAAGGAAGAAGAGGAGAATGAAGGAGATGAAGAAGAGGAGGAGGAAGGAAAGAAGAAAGGAAAAAGAGAAGCAGGGGAGGAAGGAAGGAAGGAGAGAAGGAGAAGGAGGAAGGAAGGAAAAAATTAAAGTGAGGGAGGAGGGACGGAAGGAGAGAAGGTTGAAGAAAGGTAGGAAGGAAGGAAGAGAAGGAAGGAAAGAAGGAAGAGAAGAAAAAGGGAAAGAAGAGGAATGAAATCGTATCAGTTTATGTAGCCAGTCAGACACAGATACAAAGTGAACAATAACACAAATATTGACACGGCTGAGCTGAGGTGGAGGAGGAGGAGGAGGAGGAGGGGGTGGAGGATTGAAGGAAGAGGAGAGAGGAGAAGAAGAGGAGGAGGAACAAGGGTGGAGGAATGAAGGACGGGTATAGAAAGAAGGAAAAGTGAATCAAGAGAAAGGTGAAAGAAGGGAGAGAGAGAGAGAGAGAGAGAGAGAGAGTCAAGGAAGAAACAGGAGACAAGATATAAAGCCAATAGATGGCCCTCTCTCTCTCTCTCTCTCTCTCTCTCTCTCTCTCTCTCTCACCACCACCATCTCTCACCCCCACTCATCTCTCACCCCCACTATCTCTCCCCCACCATCTCCCACTCCCCCCATCTCCCACCATCTCTCACCCCACTATCTCTCACCCCACTATCTCTCACCCCCACCCTCACCATCTCTCTCACCCCAACCCCATTATCTCTCACCCTCACTATCTCTCACCCCCATCTCCACTCACCATCTCTCCCCCACTATCTCTCACCCCACATCTCTTCTCTCACCCCCACTATCCCTCCCCCACCCCACCATCTCTCACCCCACTACTCACCCCACCTATCTCACACCCCACTATCTCCCACCCCCACTTATCTCTCACCCCAACTATCTCTCACCCAACCACTCATCTCTCACCCACACCATCTCTTCTTCCCCACTATCTCACTCCCCCACTATCTCTCACCTTCACTATCTTCCCCACTATCTCTCACCCCCACTATCTCTCCCCCACTCTCTATCTCACCCCATTATCTCTCACCCCACACTATCTCTCACCCCATTATCTCTCCTGCAGGCGGTGGCGTCGCAGCTTCACGACACAGAGGTGGAGGTGGAGATTTTCAAGTCGAAGGGGGAGGAGGACCACGCACAGTTCCTCATCACAGAGAAGGACAGCCACACCACCGACCACATCAGTGAACAGACCCAAGACCAAATCATTGATACTGGTGAGAGAGAGAGAGAGAGAGAGAGAGAGAGAGAGAGAGAGAGAGAGAGAGAGAGAGAGAGAGAGAGAGAGAGGTACGACTGAGGGAGTGAGGAGAGTGACTAAACTGATGAGAGAGAGAGAGAGAGAGAGAGAGAGAGACTAACTGAGGAGTGAGAGAGTGCACTGAGGGAGTGAGAGTGACTAAACTGATGAGAGAGAGAGAGAGAGAGAGAGAGAGAGAGAGAGAGAGAGAGAGAGAGACCATTACCCACATCAGTGTGTTAGTGGGTAGAGAAGGAGGAGGGAGACAAGGCAATGGTCGAGTGTCTATTTCAATTTCCATTCTATATTTATCCTATTCACATACACACTCTCTCTCTCTATCTCTCTCTCTCTCTCTCTCTCTCTCTTACTTATCCACTGTCTCTTATCTCTTCTCCTCAGAGCCCAAGATCAGCCCAAGGACCTTCTGTCAGGTGTGTCCCTTTCACCTGATGTTTGACCGAGACCTCAAGATCCATCAATCAGGGGACTCCATCTCTCGCGTCCTGCCTGCAGTCTGCTCCACCGACGGCTCCCTCGACCAACTCTTCGATGTGGTGAGTGTCTGGGAGTGATTGGGAGAGGCTAGGAGTGATTGGGAGAGGGTGGGAGTGATTGGGAGAGGCTAGGAGTGATTGGGAGAGGGTGGGAGTGATTGGGAGAGGCTAGGAGTGATTGGAGGAGGGTGGGAGTGATTGGAGAAGGGTGGGAGTGATTGGGAGTAGTTGGGAGTGATTGAAGGAGGGCGGGAGTGATTGGGAGAGGCTGGGAGTGATTGGAGGTGGGTGGGAAAGGGTATAGAAGCGTATGAGTGGATGTAGGTAGGTGGGAGAGGGTGTAGGTAGGTAGGAGAGGGTGTAAGTGTGTGGGAAAGGGTGTAAACAAATTAGAGAGAGTGGGAAAGGCTTTAGGAGGGTGGGAGAGCTTGGAAGAGGGTGGGAGAGGGTGGAAGAGGATGTAGGAGGATTAAGTGAAGGAAGTAAAGGGGAAGGGTGACTGGAGATGACGTTGAGAGGGAGGGAGGGGGAGGTAAGAGTGGAAGGGAGAGGGGAGGAAATGTGTTGATAAGAGGGAAAGGCACAAGTGATGAGAGAGAGAGAGAGAGAGAGAGAGAGAGAGAGAGAGAGAGTGTGTGTGAATGAGTATATGAGAGAAAAAAAGAGAGAAAGTGAGATACAGAGAGAGAGAGAGAGAGAGAGAGAGAGAGAGAGAGAGAGAGAGAGAGAGATGAATGAGTGGCACAAAGAAATTCGGACAAGACACTCCTGGGATAAAAAACCACTCAGACACGCCACTCAGAGAAGCCAGCAACTGCCACTCAGACACGCCACTCAGAGAAGCAAGCCACACCAAGACTTGATCAAAGGTGTGGTCACGAGGGAAGATAGGACGTGTCCACCCACACAACGTCAACATGTAATTGCTTCCTGCCTCATGCGGTTTCCCTATCTGGCCACACACACACACACACACACACACACACACACACACACACACACACACACACACACACACACACACACACACACACACACTGATTCGCTGTCACTCGGAATCGAGTATGACGATCATCCAGTTATGAAACAATGATATGAGTTATTAAGGATGTCACCTACGTTGGTGAGTTCTGAGGTGACTAAAGAGGCAGATACGGGACCGGCAGGGTTGATCACAGATGTTCCACATGTGGAGGGCTGCATCTAGTGCGGGAGGGGCGGCGGCAGCGTCTTTCCGGCGTTGGCGCTTGTCTGCCCCGTTATGCAGTCGGGCTAACTCGAAAGTATTGACACCTTCTAGTGTGGTGCTCCTCCAAGCGTTACGGTATAGAGTAATCGTCTCCCAGGTGAGGGGGTCGATTTGGCACTTTTTCAGGTTTGTCTTAAGACTATCCTTATACTTTTCAGTTACCCGCCGGCGTTACGTTTACTCTTCGTTATGTGACTGTAAAGTAGCTGCTTTGGCATTCTACTGTCGTCCATGCCGGTAACATGGCCAGTCCAGCGTAGTTGTTCATGGATAATGGTAGCCTTGATGCTCCTACAGTTGGTGTCAGCGAGAATACTGGCATTTGTTCTCTTGTCTTCCCAGGGAACTTGGAGGATGGAATGTAGACTACGTTGGTGAAAGTTTTCAAGTGCTTTGAGGTGCCTCCTGTATGTGACCCACGTCTCGCTGCCATATAGCAGAGTGGGGAGGACCACTGCTCGATATACATGCAGCTTTGTCGATAATTTCAGCTCCCTACAGCTGAAGACACTGGTAAGGAGTCTGCCAAAGGCTTGAGATGCACATCTGATCCAAAGTTGAATCTCTTCCTCGATGTCCGCAGTGGTGGACAGGTGGAGCCAAGATATTAAAAGTGGGTAACATTAGAGAGTGAAGTACCGTTAAGCTGGATGGATGGTGGAGATGTGGCTGAACCAGGGGCAGGTTGAAAGAAAATCTGAGGCTTACACACATTCACCTCAAAGCCGAAGTGTGAGTACGCATCTGCATAGGTGTTCAGGATCTCCTGTAGATCGCGTTCAGTGTGAGTGACAAGGGTGAGGTCGTCTGCATACTGAAATTCAGTAACGGAAGCTGCAGACACCTTTGTTCCTGCCAGGAATCGTCTTTTGTTGAAAACACCCTTCATCCGGTACTGGATGTCCATCCCGCCGGCTAAATTGGCAATGACACGAGTAAGGAAGGCGCCCAAGAAAATGGAAAAGAGAGTTGGTGCCACTACACACCCTTGTTTTAAGAACTCAGACTGAGTGTGCAGGACACTGCCATTCATGCCATCATGGAGTTGCCTCACAATGGCGATGAATTTTGGTGGACAGCCAAAACGGTTGAGGGTCCGCCAGAGGGCTTCCCTGTTGACCGAGTCGAAGGCCTTGTTTAGGTCGATGAAAGCCATGTATAGGTCATGACGATGGTCTCTACACTCTTCCTGTATATGGCAGGCAGCAAAGATCATGTCAGTGGATCCACGTGTTGGTCTAAAACGACATTGAGATTCTGGGAGGAAGTTTTCCGCCTCAGACAGCAGCGAGATCCCGCGGTAGTTGCCACAGTCTGACCGGTCTCCCTTGTTCTTATAAATATTGACAATGGAGACGTCTTTAAGAGCTTGGGTGATTTCCTCCTTTTCTCATATATTCTCCAGGAGAGAGTTGAGACGGCTGGTAAGCAGAGGTCCTCCTGCTTTATACACCTCGTCTGGGATTCCATCAGGCCCTGAGGCTTTGTTATTCTTCATCTGTTCGATGGCAGTAGCTACCTCATCCAAGAATGGAGGATAGTTGAGATGGGTCAGCTCTGGATGCTGAGGGACCTGCTGGGTAGTCAGAACATCCACATCGGTTTCGGTTGAGCAGTGAATGGCAGTGCTCTTTCCAGTGTTGAAGGAAGCCTTCTTCGTCTTTAATTAGGGAGTTACCGTTGGATGAGCGGAGGGGGAGCTGCACTGTGAGTAATTGGCCAATAAAATGTTTTGTGTAATTGAAAAATTCGCGCATCTTGTGCTGATCTGCAAGTTTTTGTGCTTCACATTCTTTATTTTTAAACCAGTCATTCTTTAGATTGCGAAGTTCAAGCTGGGCCCCTGCTTTCTTCTTGTGTAAGGTATCAGATTTGGTTCGTGACTGAGGGTTGTTCGGCCGGTCAGTTAAAGTAGCACGTTTATCATCGATGAGTACATTGATTTCCGGGTTATTTTCATCAAACCAGTCCTGGTGTATTCTTTCAATCTGGCCAAGGGTCTCTCTGTAGGTTTTTGTCAGGACATTGTTTTGAATACCCCATTCGGCACTGGGATTTGGGTTGTTTGCTGTTGGGTTGTTTGTCAGCCCTTGTTCGAGCTGCTCTCTGTAAGCATGTGCTCCCTCTGGATCCTCCAAACGCTTAGTGTTGAAACCTCTTTTTGAGGCTTGTTGCCTTCGCCGTTTTGGGGCGACGTGAAGTGAGAGCCTTGCTTTGACGAGCCGATGATGAGTGTCACAGTGGTCTGAGCCACGCATGGCACGGGTGATGAGGACATCTCGGCGATCCCTTTCAATGATGTAGTCAATGAGATGCCAGTGTTTGGATCGTGGGTGTTGCCACGAACCCTTGAACTTGTCGGCCTGCCTAAACAAGATGTTAGTGATAGTGAGGTTGTGTGCAGCGCACTTGCTGAGGAGGAGTAGGCTGTTGGGATTACACTTGCCTAGTCCATTTCTCCCTATGATTCCCTGACAAATGTCAGCATCTCTGCCAACTCTGGCATTGAAGTTGCCAAGGAGCACAACCTTATCTACTCTGGGGAAAGAAGTTAGCATTCTGTCAAGGTCGGCATAAAAGGCCTCCTTGATGTCATCCTTTGCATCCAGTGTTGGAGCGTATGCACTGATGAAAAAGGCATGACGTGAGTGATTCAGTGGGACTCGGAGCGTCATGAGGCGCTCGTTGATCCCAACGGGCATTTCAGCATTTCAGTTAGCCTGTGTAGGATGGATTGGCGGATGGCTCAGCCAACTCCATAAATGCGGTTTCTCTCCGCAGCAGGCTTACCCTTCCAGAAGAAAGTATAGCCAGACCCCCGTTCTGTGAGTCGACCCTCGTCTGGAAGCCGGGACTCACTAATGGCAGCTATGTTGCTGTTATACCAAGCCAGCTCTTTTGCCACAGGGGCAGTTCTTCTTTCAGGACGCTCATTTGTGCCAATAACCAAAAGGGTCCTCACATTCCATGCAGCGACCATAAGAAAATGTATAGTTTGTTTTGGTTTGGATCTGTGATTATGAGTGTACACACACACACACAGAGACGGACACACAGACGGACCACTAATAGAGAGGGCGGAGGGATAGAGATAGATAGATAGATAGATAGCTAGAGAGAGAGAGAGTGAGAGAGAGAGAGAGAGAGAGAGAGAGAGAGAGAGAGAGAGAGAGAGAGAGAGAGACCACTTCTCTCCCCCGCCCTCCATACATCTTACATCAGGGTGTGAGAAATAATTTGATTTCATGGTCAGGTGTCTCATAAGGTCTCTCTGTCTCTCAATCACTAGGGGCTAAATTATAGGTGACATGATTTTCTCACTCTTCTTCTCTGTCTTTCTGTCTCTCTCTGGCTGTTTCTTTCTCTCTTTTATCTCACTGTCTCCGTAAGAGCAGATTCAATGGTAATGTTAGTCTCTCTCTCTCTCTCTCTCTCTCTCTAAGGACAGTTACCCAGGGTGGTGTTAAAAGTCTCCCAAACAACTTTTCTCATTATCTCTCTCACATTCTGTCTTAAAAAAGCCAGAACATTTCTAGGGAGGAAAAAGCTAGTCTCTCTCTCTCTCTCTCTCTCTCTCTCTCTCTCTCTCTCTCTCTCTCTCTCTCTCTCTCTCTCTCTCTCTCTCTCTCTCTCTCTCTCTCTCTCTCTCGCTCTCTCTCTCTCTCGTCCAAGGCTTTCAGACTCCAAATGCGCCAGAGTTTTTATTTATTTTTTTATTTTTTCCTAGTTAAAGAGACTAAAGAATGGGAAAGATGACAGGAGAAAAACAAACCCAGCTGTGTGTGGGTGTGTGTGTGTGTGTGTGTGTGTGTGTGTGTGTGTGGGTGGAGGGTTGTGGGGTGTGTTTGTGTTGTATGTGTGTGTGTGGGGTCGTTTGTGAGGTATTTGTGTGTGTGTGTTATGTGTGTGTATGTGTGTGGAAGGTGTTTTTGTTTGTGTGTGTGCTGGGAAAAGGATTATGTGGGACAACAGGTGTATTACTACCAGCACACATGCATAAACATTAACACACACACACACACACACACACAATAATATCCTCAGGGATTCTACACAGACCTTCCAGCTTTCTTCAAGGGTTTTCAGACGAAGAAAGACAGAAAGAAAAGAAAGAAAGAAAGAAAGAAAGAAAGAAAGAGAAAGAGAGAGAGGACCTCGTCTTTCCTCCTCTAACTTACAACACACGACCTTCGACTGGAGGATAAAACGGCCTATAAAAAGTCAAGGAAGAGTGAGGAGAGCGTGGGAGGAGGAGTGTGGGAGAAAGGTAGAGGTGTGGGAGGTGTGGGGTGGGGGAAGGAAGGAGGTGAGGGAGAAGGTAGAGTGATGGAGGTGTGGGAGGGTGTGGGAGAAGGTGAGTGTGGGAGGGTGGGAGGAGGGTGTGGGAGGGTAGAGTGTGGGAGGCGTGGGGTGGGGGGGGGGAGGAGAGTGAGGGAGAAGGTGGATGAGGTGTGGGAGGAGGGGAGATGGAGTGTGGGGAGAAGAAGGTGGGTGATGGAGGTGGGGAGGAGGGTGTGGGAGGGTGGGGTGTGGGAGAGCGTGGGGTGGGGAAGGAAGGAGAGTGAGGGAGAAGGTAGAGTGAGGGGAGGTGTGGGAGGGGGAATGTGGGAGAAGGTGGAGTGTGGGAGGAGGGGGTGTGGGAGAAGGTGGGGTGTGGGGGGGAGGTGAGGGAGAGAGAGGGGCGTGGGAGGCGTGGGGTGGGGGGGGTGAGGGAGGAAGATGGATGGGGAGAGGAAGGGAGAGTGAGAGAAGAGATGGGAATGATGGTGGAAGAGGAGGAGGTGTAAGAGGGAAAAGAGAGGAGGAGAAGATGAGAGGTTGAGGGAAGACTTTAAAGTGAGAGAGAGAGAGAGGAGGGAGGAGGAGGATGTATGTGTATCTCTCTCTATCTTCTGTTGTGTTTTCATTAATTACACCTTAGTTAAGTGCACACCTTAATTAGGTTACCTGGGAAGAGTTTCGCCCGAGTGTGTGTTCATCTCTCTCGTTAATTGTTTATTTATATCTTATCTTTTTCTGTGTAACTACTTTATTTATGTTTGTAATATTTGACTATGTACTTATCTCTACACACACACACACACACACACACACACACACACACACACACACACACACACACACACACACACACACACACACACACACACACACACACACACACACACACACACACACACACACACACACACACACACACACACACACACACACACACACACACACACACACACACACACACACACACACACACACACACACACACACACACACACACACACACACACACACACACACACACACACACACACACACACACACACACACACACACTATAAACAATCACAAACCTAACCTATTTTACTTAACATAACCTAACCTAACATAACACAACATAACATAACACTTTATTGTAGAGTTGGGGTGTGTGACAGGTGGGGGTGGGGGTGTTGGAGAGGAATGGTGACGGAGGGGTGAGAGGTGTTGGAGGGTAGATGGACGGAGGTGAGAGGTGTTGGAGAGGGTAGATGGTGGGAGGAGGGGGTGAGAGGTGTTGGAGAGGGTAGATGGTGACGGAGGGTGAGAGGTGTTGGAGAGGGGTAGATGGTGACGGAGGGGGGGAGAGGTTTTGGAGAGGGTGGGGAGAGAGAGGGAGGTGTTAGTGTCAGGTTCTCCAACATAAAAGTATAATGAGTAAAAATCTTGGATATTTCATTATCATAAATCTTTCTTCTTATTAATTAATGAGACGACTAATTATCCCCACGTCCACTATCAACCTCCTCCCCCACTCATCTCTCTCTCTCTCTCTCTCTCTCTCTCTCTCTCTACTTACTTAATTTTGTGGTACAGTTTCTCTCCTATTTTTCAGTGGGTAAATAATTCGTACTATTTAGATTATTTTGTTTACTGTAACCTATTTTTCCATTTAATTCTGGGACATATTTTCACTTTTCTTTGCTTCCCTCGCTATAGAAGTCGTTATTTACGTCTCCCATATTTCCTTTTTCGTTTTCTTTTCTTGCTTCTCCTGGTTAAGTTTCCTTTTTTTGTCTCTACTTTCTCTTATGTGAGTTTTATTAGTCTTCTGGGGATATTTTTTTACTTTAGTTCTTCCCTTTATTTAACTTTTACGTTTTCTTTTATCGTTTTCTTTTTAGTTTTACTCTTGAAAACGGATACTATTGTATTTTTTGAGGCTTCACTTTTTTTTTTTCTTTGAGTTCTTCACCCTTCCCTCCCTCCACCTCCCTTCCCCCTCACCCTCTCACCCTCCCTCTCCCCTTTCACCCCTCACCCCACGTGATGCGATATTATTACTTGAGGTTAACGAAGGAAAGTTGAGACCCTGATCTATTGATTGGCTTAGTTCCAGGTCAGTAAAACACGGCAGTAGTTGGCTTAGCTCCGGGTTAAGAGAGTGTAATGTGCAGTACTCTAATGCTCTTATGGGAATAATTTTTGTATGTTATTTCCAGGTTGTGTCTCTGATAGGTTTGTTTATTATGTACAGCTACTAATATATAAGTACTCGTTTACAGTCTCTCTCTCTCTCTCTCTCTCTCTCTCTCTCTCTCTCTCTCTCTCTCTCTCTCTCTCTCTGTCACAGCTCCTCCCTGGCGTCCTCCCACCGGAACTGCCACCAACTAATTATTTCCAATTAAGGTGTGCCACCCCCATTGCCTCACCTTCCCAGGGTACTAATTAGATTTATCTCCCCCCATCTCTTCCTCTCCCCATCTCCCTCCCCCCTCACTCCCTCCTCCTCCTCACCCTTATCTACGCCACCCACACCTTCCTCTTCCCACTTTCCCACTTCCTCACTCCCTCATCCTACTCTCCCCATCTACACTCCCACTCCCACCACCTCCTCATCCCCTCTCTTCCTACTCCTCCCCCCACTCCCACTCACTCCCCTCTCCCCCTTACAGGTGCGGCCACACATGGAGTTAACTTTCGACAACATTCTCTCCCACATCAACACCATCTACGTCCTGCAAACCAAGGAAGGCCTCATCTCGACCCGTGGGGACAACCGTGAATTAGGCTCCGACCAGGGGTGTCTCAGGCTCAAGGTAGGTTGGTGAAGAGAGATATTCGGACGAGTTGTGGGGCAGGAGGAGGAAGGGGGTAGGGAGGAGGGGGAGGAAGTGGGGGATAGAGGTGGTGGGGGGGGAAGAGAGGGGAGGTAGGGAGGAGGAGGAGGGTGGTACAAGGTAGAGGAGGAGGAAGAGGAGACATCAGTTGAGGGAAAGGAAGTGAGGGAGGAAGGGGAGACAAAGGAGGTGTAGAGAGGTTGAAGAAACAAGGGTGAAGGAGGAAGAGAGGTCCAGGAAGACAGATTAAGGGGATTTTAGGATGATGATAAGGAGGAGGAGGATAGGAAGGAGAGATGCATTGCGGTCATCAGATAAAGGAAGAAAATTAAGGAGATAACAGAAGGAGAGGAAGAGGAGGAGATCGTGGAGGAGAGAAGGAGAAATTGAGGAAGAAAATGAAGAAAGTGAGGTAAAGAGGGAGGGAAATGAGGAAAGATTTGTAAGAGTAAATGGAGGAGAAAGAGAGATGAAGATGAGGAAGATTAGGAATAGGGGAAGGAAGAAGGAGAGGAGGTAAAGAGGAAGAGGATATAGACAGTGAAAGAGGCGATAAAGAGATGCAATAAGAAAGTTAATGAGAAGAGAAGGAGAAGAAACAGCAACATTAAAAGAGCGAAGAATAGATGAGTAAAAAGAGAAAGAGAAATATGAAAAACTGAGGAAAAAGACAAGGAATAGAGAAGAAGAAAGTACAATATACAAGTCTCAAACACACACACACACACACACACACACACACACACACACACCAAGATCTAAACTACCTGAAACAAACCAATTAATTCCAGGTTTTTTAGAATAAGTTTAAAGTGATCTTAGAATTTAAAAAAAAAAAAAGTTCCCAGAGTAAACTTGACTTCCCTGGTGCCTTGGTGAGATCGGTGTGTAGTAAGGAGTTCACTTAGGACAGACAAATCTTTCTCTTTACACTTTTAATTTTTTATGACGAAACGACAATCACACTTTCCCACATATGACCCAAAACATAACAGAGAAGTGATGACTTTACTCGATCTATCTTTCCCTTATCTTTAGTCTTCCTCTATTTGTGTTTTGGGTGGATAAAGAAACGTAGAATACCCAAAGAAATAAAGGTGAGGAAGAAAAGGAGAATGGTGAAAGTGGCAGTAAAGGGTTCAGAAGATATCCTGTACAAATAATTTTATATCATAACTCGTAGCTCTAGGTGAAGGAACTCTTTCGTTATAGAGGCCAGTATTACCTTAATTTATCTTTACTCTGTCCTATTTGCCACTGATCGGTCTGTTAGCTTCTTGGGCGGTCGGTCACGTCTAGAGGTCACAGCTCAAGGTTGAAAAAGCCACAAGTCCAGAAAACTGTGAGGGCAAACTTTTTCGGAGTGAGAGTTGTGAACTGTTGGAACAATCTGCCAGAGAGTGTTGTGACGGCACCGAGTGTGAGCTGTTTCAAGACCAGACTTGACCAACACTGAAGCAGGTACAGATACATTCAGGAGCCAGTACATGCCCAGTACTTGCCAACAGTGACGTGAGGGACCGCCCAAGCGGCTAATTAGCCGATCAGTGGCGGAGAGGATAAAGGTTAAAGTAAAAAGTAATGTATTGGCTCCAGAATGTACTATACCTGCGCCTCTAGAACAAAATTCAAAATCTCCCAGTAGGGTTCCCCATTCATCATAAGATCCACTATAATATAATAGATCGTTATATACCCTTAAATAATATAATATATGTTCTATTGTCTTAAAATTACCTTCTAATATACCTCAAAAGAGCACACAGAGGTACCAACGATAATAAAAGCGTTACCCCTATAATATTACATTTTCTATATATATATATTGTTTCACCGAGACCTTAACTATTTTATATTTACGCTAAAAAATATATACCTGTAATGTATATATTTATATAAGTGAAAAGTGTCTAATTCACTAGACACGTGAGTAAAAGTGTTAGTAAAGTTACTTATAAGACATAGTTTGTTAGTTCCTAGCCTTTAAGCGTCCATGTGAAGAGTTCAACTCAATTTCAATTTCAATTGTTTATTCCTTGATAGAGGAAGCGGGATCCTAGTGCTGTCACTAGGTACCCCTGTACAATGACACCAGAAGCATCTGGCAAGTGTGACAAGTATATACAGTATAAATATTATAAAGGGGCTTACTAAAGCCTAAGGAAGGAAGGATATTCCTTTAACACATAATCAATATTATTTACAAAATATCTGGCCAGTATGGGGAGGATCATCGTGTCTCCGTCAGGGGGTCGTGGAGTGGTGGTCCAGCAGGCGTCACGGAAGCGTTGTGTGTGGGGACATCTTAGGAGGTAGTGGATAAGGGTGCTGCTGTCCGGTCTTCTGCATAATGCACAAGAGCGTTGCTCAGGGGATGCGGGGATACCAATCTCCCAAGCAAAGTCATACCCAATGATGATACGGGCAGCAATCACGTCCCCTTTCCGCGACCCTTTCCCGTAGACGTAAGAGAGGTCAGGAAGTGTACGGAGGACATCGTACCAGGTGGGCAGGGAGTCCAGGGGGATGGCTGCTTCCCGAGCTTCTCTCTGTTGTGAAGAGTTAAAAATTTTCGTGCTCGATTGGCGGGAGTTATTAAAGTGAAATAATTAACGGTGAATAAAGTTGGCGTTTCAGGGAAGGACTTTAACGAATCTAATTTAAAGGGAATAATTAAAACTGTCAAGAGTTATAAATAAGTTATCTTGATATAAAGGAGTTTGGAATAGTTTATTAGGAGATGTGTATAGAGGTTTTTAAATGGCCGAACTTGGGTGAGTGAGTTTAAATGTCACCCTTTGAGATTTTAATAGAATGTAAACAATGCTTAACAATAATAATAATAATAATAATAATAATAATAATAATGATAATAATAATAATAATAATAATAATATCCACAAATCGATGCTCATTTGTCCTAGAGATTCATCCTACACCGATTGTCAACAGGGCCAGGTGATCTACCTCCCAGAGACCGACCTCATGCTCTACGTCTGCTCACCCTCTGTCCTCAACCTCGACGACCTCTACCGACGTGGCCTTTTCCTCTCCGACATCCCCCTCCACGATGCCACCCGTGACCTCGTCCTCCTGAGCGAGAAATTCGAGGCGGAGTACAACCTCACCACCAACTTGGAGATCTTGACCGACAAGCTGCAGCACACCCACAGAGAGCTGGAGAGTGAACGACAGAAAACGGATAAGTGAGTGGCAGTATTTTAGGGATAACTTAGATATTTTTCAGATACTCATATCGAGATAGATTGATGGATAGAAAAGTAGCTAGATTGACTGATGTATAGAAAAATAGACAGATATTTATATAGATAGATATTTAGTAAAATCATCATGTAAGTTAAGACTGATTTAGAGATATAATTAACACCGACAATGTTAAATAATTATCACTGCATTACTCAACAGGCTGCTGTATTCCGTGCTGCCTATCAGTATTGCCAACGAGCTGAGGCACAAGAGAACGGTTCCTCCACGGAGATACGAGGTGGTAACACTGCTTTTCTCAGGTAAGGTTAACACAGGGACGGACAGACATATACAGTAGACAGGTGGATAGACAGATACTCAAATAAACATACAGGGAGACAGATATAAAGACAGACACAGAGACAGGCGAACATACAGATAGATACACAGGCAGACAGACAGACAGATGTAAACAAACACACACACACACACACACACACATACACATACATACAGACAGATACAGACACAGACAAACTATTACAATAAGTTTTCATTATGCCCAATATTTACAATACATTTTCTAAGAGACAGGTATCGTAAATTTATTATATTCCTCAAATATTCCCAACAGCAGGTATTGTAGACTCCTTAATATTCCCACAGGTATCGTAAATTAATAATCTCCCTCGATATTTTTGATTGGGATTGTAGATTAATTATGTCCCACAGGGATCGTAAACTAAATAGCTCCCACAGGTATCGTAAACTAAATAGCTCCCACAGGTATCGTAAACTAAATAGCTCTCACTGGTATCGTAAACTAAATAGCTCTCACTGGTATCGTAAACTAAATAGCTCCCAAAGGTATCGTAAATTATATCTACAGGTTTCGTAAACCATCTCCCACAGGTATCAAATTATTTCCCACAGATATCGTAAATTATCTCCCACAAGTATCGTAAATTAATTCCTACAGGTATCGTGAATTATCTCCCGCAGGTATCGTAGGGTTCACGGACTACTGCTCCAGACACACGGACATAGAAGGCGCCTCTAAGATCGTCAAGATGCTGAACGACCTTTACACCGCCTGTGACGTACTGACGGACGAGGTCAAGAACCCCAACGTATACAAGGTCAGGTCAAGTAGAAAGGTAATTTTAAGGTCAAGTACAGAAGTCACTAGAAACTCAGGTCAAGTAGAAAGGTCATTTTAAGGTCAGGTCAATTAGAAAGGTCATTTTAAGGTCAAGTCAAGTACAAAGGTCATTGTAAGGTCAAGTACAAAGGTTATTTTCAGGTCAGGTCAAGTATAGAGGTAATTTTAAGGTCATTTTTGTTCCACTGTAGAGTAATGGTGTTATTAGGTCAAGGTTTATTGTAAGGTCACAGTGATAGAGGTCAGGTCACGTTGATTGTATTGTTTCTGTACTCTATCTATCTATCTATCTATCTATCTATTCCGGTAACCCCCACAGGTAGAGACGGTAGGGGACAAGTACATGGCCGTGAGCGGACTGCCTGAAACATGTGTCCATCACGCCCGTTGTATTGGTAACCTGGCCCTCGACATGATGGACAAGGCTTCCGGCGTGATAGTCGATGGTCAGCGTGTGGTGGTAGTGGGAGGGAAGGATGGGAGGAGGAAAGGAGGGAGGAGGGAAGGAGGGGGAGTGAGGAAAGGATGGGAGGGAGGGAAGGAGGAAGGATGGTTAGATGGGGATAAAGAGAGGAGGAGGGGGGAGGGAGAGAAGAGAGAAAAGGTATGGAAGGATGGTTAGATGGGAGAGAGGGAGGAAGGAATGGAAGAGAGGGAAGTACGGATGTAGGAAGAGTAGAAAGAGAGGTAAGAAGGAGTAAGGATAAATGGATGGAAGTAGAGAAGAGAGCGAAAAGAGAATGGGAGGAAGGGAGGGGAAGAAGAAGAGAAGGAGGGATAGACTAAGGAGAGTAGGAATGAGGGTATGTATAAAAGGAGGATGGAGAAAATGATGAAAGAAGAATAAGAGGAAGGCGAGAGAGAGAAGGAAAGCAATATGTCTCCAGTTTACAGAAGACACCTCATTACAGACACACGAGCAGAAGTTAACCAGGTTCCTCTTTCTTCCCCTGTGAGAGAGAGAGAGAGAGAGAGAGAGAGAGAGAGAGAAGCCCTATTCATTCTCTCATTCTTCTCTCTCTCTCTCTCTCTCTCTCTCTCTCTCTCTCTCATCCCCCTATCCTATCCCCGACAGCACATCACCATCGGGATACACTCGGGGGAGGCGGTGACGGGGGTGATTGGACAGAGGATGCCGAGGTACTGTCTATTTGGCAACACTGTCAATATCACCTCCAGGACAGAGACGACGGGAGAAAAGGGCCGCATCAACGTCTCCGAGGACGCTTACAGGTGAGGTACTCCTTCTGTAGGTGAGGTACTCCTTCTGTAGGTGAGGTACTCCTTCTGTAGGTGACGTACTCCTTCTGTAGGTGACGTACTCCTTCTGTAGGTGAGTTACTCCTTCTGTAGGTGAGGTACTCCTTCTGTAGGTTGCTCCTTTGTGAGTAGGTGAGGTACTCCTTCTGTAGGTCCTTCTGTAGGTGACAAGGTGACGTACAGGTGACGTACTTTCTGTAGGTGACGTACTCCTTCCAGTGTGAGTTACCTTCTGTAGGTGAGTTACTCCTTCTGTGGTGAGGTACTCCTGTATGTGAGTTACCCTATAGGTAAGGTAGTAGTACTCCTTCTGTAGGTGAGGCATTCTGAGGTACTCCTGTAGGTGAGTTACTCCTGTAGGTGAAATTCCTGCAGGTGAGTTACTCCTGTAGGTGAGGCACTCCTGTAGGTGAGTTACTCCTGTAGGTGAGGTACCCTGTAGGTGAGGTACTCCTGTAGGTGGTACTCCTGTAGGTGAGGCCTTCTGTAGGTGAGGTACTCCTGTAGGTGTACTCCTTCTAGGTGAGGCACTCCTGTAGGTGAGTTGCTCCTGTAGGTGAGGTACTCCTGTAGGTGAGGTACTCCTTCTGTAGGTGAGTTACTCCTTCTAATGTGTAAAATTACAGTATATTATCACCTGTTCAAGAGTGTGTGTATGTGTGTGTGTGTGTGTGTGTGTGTGTGTGTGTGTGTGTGTGTGTGTGTCACACCATGTATCTCTCATTATCTCTCCCAGGTTTATCTCATTATCTTCCACAGGTATCTCTCATTATCTCCCGCAGGTATCTCTCATTATCTCCCACAGGTACTATATATCTCATTATCTCACCAATTATCTCTCATTATCTCCTCCAGTTATCTCCAAGAGCCAGAGAACTACGACCCCTCCTTTGTTTTCACCTACCGGGGTCCAGTACCTATGAAGGGCAGAAAAGAACCGATGCAAGTCTGGTTTCTAAACAGGAAGAAACCCAACTAGAACCTGTAGCGTGAGAGATAAGAGAACGCAGAGAACATTACAGAGAGAACGGAGACGATACTAGAGCCCGCTGAGATGGAAGAGAACGCTGGGTGATGGTTTGGCTATTAGAGAACGGATTTAAAAAGGTGAGTGAGAGAGTTTTGAATTGGAAAACGTAGAGAACTTGTTGGTTTTCGTTGTGGTGGTGTAAGTAAAAACCATTCTTTGGGTGATTAAGTAATTAGAAAACACAATGAAACTTTTCTCCATATGTGAATTAAAACCAGATGTTCTCAAGATAAAAATATGCAGCTTTAGAAACCGGTCGCTGAGGTTGAATATGGACGAAAAAAGAAAACAATCTGGGACTTAGACTTTAGAACCAAGGAAATAGAGAACAAAGGAACCAATGCGTGTTGTCCAGGTTTAGAGAACGGTCCCAAAAGGGTGATTACTTTAGGGTAAGATAGAAACCAGGGGAATGAAAACCGTAGAACATAAATCCTGCTTTAAAGAACGACATCTGAATGAAAATTATGTCAATAGAAACCATAGAAACCAACCACAGAAATCTCCATCAGTGTAGCAGTGAATAAAAAGTGTTTCTGGTATTTTTTAGAAACCAACCACAGTGTAGTAGACAACTCAGGAATTTTCAGGCAATACCCGGGTATAGAGAACAGTCTTTAGAAAACGGTAAATGAGGTACAACTGAAATAGAAAACAAAGAGTGAGTTGTTATCATGATTAGAAACCTGGTTTAAGAAGGCACGACTGAAAGAAGAAAGAAACCATTCAGGCGACATATGGTTTCTAAACAACAGAAAAAGAAAACAGGAGGAAAACACCAAAACGAGAGTGAATGAACATAAAAACCCTTAACATTTGATGTGGTTTCTATACACTACAAAGAAAACCAGTCAACAGGAACCACCAAAAAATAAAGAACTTCAGCAGGAGACTAAACCAGTGTAACATTTAATGAAATAGAGAACTTAGAAACCTTCACTCTTGATATATGTGGTTTCTAGACTAACATAAAATGAAAACCAGGAAACAGAAACCACAAATAAAAAATAAACTACTCAACTTCTACCAAAATAGAGAACTTTAGAAACCTCTCGCTCATCTTAATGCGGTTTCTAATTGGGAAGTGAAAGCTCATCAAGACGTGAGATGGTTGAATGTTATCAGGTAGGAAGCAAGATACGTTTTCTTTTTTGATATTTATTTAATTCGTTTTCTTCTTTTAGGGGAAACTCGTGAATTTTGGGGGGAAACGAAAGAATTTGTGTATTTATGTTTTAATTTCTAAGTAAAGTGAAATATTTTACGAAAGGGGGATAGGATAGATACATAGATTGATATGTATAATTTATTTATTTAACTATTTATTTATTTATTTATTTATCTATCTACAGTCTCGGCACATTTTGGAGTCCATTTTGTGGGTGTTGTTTTGGTGTTAAAATTTAGGTCAGAATTGATGGATAGTTATTTGTGTATATTAAGTTAAGGGAGGGTTATTATGTATGTATGTATGTATGTATGTATGTATGTATTTATTTGCGTGTATGTATTTATTTGTGTATGTATGTATGTATGTTGACTAGACCAGTATATAAAACCACTCACATGTTTATCTTTGATCATTATATTATATAAACTGTGTTTTCAGGTATGGTATCTGGTCAATTGGGCCCCAGTCCTAATAGGCCCCAGTTATAGTAGGCCCCAGTACTAATAGGCCCCAGTTCTAATAGGATCTAGTTTTAAGGGGTTCTATTCTGGTTTAATCTAATTGGGTGTCAGTGTGTAATTGGCTCCAGTCTGTAATGGGCCGCAATTCTAATAGGCCCCAGTTGGAATTGGCCACAGCTCTAATGGGTCCACAGTAACATTGGTTAAGTTAGGTTGGGGTCTGTTGGGAATGGGGCTAATGAGGACTGTGCCTAAATAGGAATGAAACCTGTTGTAATTGGGGTACATTATGCCCAGGTCATTCAATAAAGGGCCCTATTCGAAATGGGGCCTTCTGGGGTTTATTAGGACTGGGGGCCATTAAGACTAAGGGCCCATTATGACTAAGGGCCCATTGAGACTAAGGGCCCAGAAAGACCTACGTTTACCTACATCCCTCTGTATATATTGATGTATGATAATTGTATAACAGACCGTAGTAAAATATAAGAGAAATATATATATTATACAGTATATATGAAACGCAATATTTATTTGCTTAAATATATGATCAATATAACGTGTTTTTATTGCGTATATATATACTATGAGATGGTGGCAATTTTTTCGTCTATCAACCCTCGTTTTATTTTATTTTTCTATTGGTTCTCATTCCGTGTTTATCACAGTGTATAATTTTACCAAAGAAACAGAGATGACAGACAGCCAGTTACCAGCCTTCCTCTGGTCAACTGTCCTAAGGTGTATCGTCAAGTGTCAACAAGTCACCGCCTCACACCACCACGTTATTATATCCACTAAAAACTATATTTTCCGTAATATTTGTTGTCCTAAACTTTATCTTTTTATATTTTGTGTTTTTTTTGTTATTTTACGATGTAGTGGGGTCATGATATATACAATTTTAAATAATAAGATAATTTCGTGAAGATGTATCGCTTTACGCCAAGCGGACCAAAGTGAATGTAAGTTGAGTTCGTTGTTGATGTCAGTTTTCTGTGAATAAAACGACAATACGGACTTTTGTCCCTCTAAATTTATAAATATAAGCGAGAAGAAACATTATAGAACATTGTGAGGTAAGAATTATACGGTGAAAAGCTTCGAAAACTCTTCAAAGAAGGAAAATTAAAGGGCTACTCCAAGTGACAACAAACACTGGGTGGCCGGCCATGTGTGTGCTGTTGTGGACTTTAAATACGCATGATTGTACTCACCAAGACGTTATATAACTCTTAACTAGTTTTAGTGAATTAAATGACATAATTAGTGAATAATTAGTAATAGTGAGTGTAATTACCGGCGAGGAACTTTAATTTTACTGTGATAAAGAACGGGAAGCAAGCGATGGAAGGAGGCTATGACGTCACACCTGTTGCCAACTGTAAGTATTTATTAATATTTATATAAAAAAACTCAACAAAACTTAATATTATCTTAATAATTATTGTTTTATGATTGTTTGTCTATTGGTAAGGTCAGTTAACGAATTATTACGTAGCTTAATTATTGATATATTCGTATAAGTCGTAAGTTAAGAATGTTTTAATTACTGGGTTTATTTTGGCGATTATTTGATCTTGTTGACAAATATTCCTTGATTGGATGTTATCTTTTTGTTAGTATTGTTATTTCTTGTAATTATTGGTTATTACTGTACTTGTCGATTAATTGTAGTTATTTTATATTTAATTATTATTAATGAATAATTATGATTTATTATTATATTCTTATTACTTGATAATTATTACAATCACAACGTTACTTATTGATATTGGTATCCGTATTATTATTATTATTATTATTATTATTATTATTATTATTATTATTATTATTATTATTATTATTTTTATTATTATTATTATTTATCGTTAATGTTTTCGTTATCACAGAACAAATACTTTATTGCGCGTAAACTGTACACAGAGTAATGGCCAGCCTTGTACACTTAAGAGTACACACGGGACTGGGGAAGTTAGCCAATGATTAGGGTGTAAGTGTACTGTAGGGGAGGGTGGAAAGGTGTGTAGGGTTTGAATGTGGGGTGTAGGAGTGGGTGTAGGAAGGATATGGAGGGAAGTGTAATGTATAGGGGTGTGTACTATGTATGTGTTGGGGAGTAGATGTTAGTCATGGTTAGGTTAGGTTAAGATTAGTTTGAGGTCAGGTTAAGCTATTTTCTGCTTGGGTTAAGTTACGGTATGGTAGGAGTAGTTATGGTTAAGAATCTTTTTGGGAGGCTGGGTTAAGTTCTGCTCAATTAGGTATAAGTTTGGTTAAGTTAGGTTGTGTTTGGGGTAGGTTTTATAAATGTCAAGTCAGCTTAAAGGTAGTTTTGATTTCTTAACTAGCTTCCGAGTCCGAATGGTTGTGATGGTGGTAGTGTTAGTGCTAGTGTTAGTGGTGGTGGTAGTGTTCGTGATGGTGGTAGTGTTAGTGATGGTGGTAGTGTTAGTGATGGTGGTAGTGTTAGTGATGGTGGTAGTGTTAGTGGTGGTGGTAGTGTTAGTGGTGGTGGTAGTGTTAGTGGTGGTGGTAGTGAAAATAGTGATGGTGGTAGTGTTGGTGTGGTGATAGTGATGGTGGTAGTGTAATTGTTAGTGAGTGTTAGTGATGGTGGTAGTGTTAGTGATGGTGGTGGTGTTGGTATGGTGGTGGTGTTGGTGGTGGTGGTGGTGTTTATGGTGGTGGTGTTAGTGATGGTGGTGGTGTTGTAGTGATGGTGGTAGTGTTAGTGATGGTGGTAATGTTAGTGGTGGTGGTAGTGTTGTGTGGTGGTAGTGTTAGTGATGGTGGTAGTGTTAGTGGTGGTGGTAGTGTTAGTGATGGTGGTAGTGTTAGTGGTGGTGGTAGTGTTAGTGGTGGTGGTAGTGTTAGTGGCAGTGTTAGTGAGCAATAAGGAAATGTACAGTTGACTAATTATGAAGCAAAATATTTTATATTTGTTCTGAGTTTATGATTTATTTTATATTTTTTATAAAAGTAAAATAATACGTTTTTGGCTTTATAATCAGTTTGATCATATAAACATGAGTTATATATATAAATGTTTGAGAGCATTAACAGTGATAGGCACAACATATAAACATGAGTTATATATATAAATGTTTGAGAGCATTAACAGTGATAGGCTGTACAACTATACATTGTAAATAGAGCCGTAATATATAAGTATATCTTGGCTCCAGGTATTAACAAAATCTATAAAAATCTTAAAACTACTCTAGTATAATTTTCGTAATATTTACGTAAAATAACACTATGTAAATCACTAATTTACATATTTTTTACACTACTCATATATTGTTACTATGGTTTATTGTGAACACACACTGAGCTCCGTTACTCAGAAGTTAACACTCATGACTGACAACCAGACTGACTCACTGACACACTTGCCCGTGGCCCACCCCAGCCTGTGTGACCCGCACACTCTTCACTACCGCAGCTTGTGGCTAATTGTTGTTTACTTTTGTGTATTTACAAATATTTTCACCTAACAATAAAACATTTACTCAAAGACACACACACTGATAGTCCCGTATATTCAACTCCAGCACGAGCATTCTCTAGTGCCTGGCGTTTATCCTTCAACCCACCAGTGACACTGTTAGTTAAGTTCATAATTATCGTCTTAACCATAACAATACTCCATATTTTTCTTCTCCCTTCTATCTTACTTCTCGTTCATCTCCTTTTTTGCTTTGTCTCTTGTCTTCTTTTTTTCGTTTATCACTATTTACTTTGTCACCTCCTTTATTTTATTTCTCCTTCGTTACACACTTCCTCCTTTATTTTATTTCTCCTTCGTTACATCTTCCTTCGCCTCGTTACTGGCAGTGTTATCGGCCAGTATCTTCTTCACCAGAGTTATCTCACCTTCCGTTAGTTCCCTCTTCCTCTGGGCTCTGTACACGGCGAAGGAGCCCCCAGCGTTACCACTTACGAACGTCCCGAAGCTGTTAGGACCAAGGCCAAAGTCATTCGAGGCCCCGTGAGGTCCTTCTGAGGCAGTAGGAGGGGGAGGTGGGAGGTAGGAATCCCTTGGTGTTTCGTAGGATTGTTGTGGTGCTTCGTAGGATTGTTGCGGTGCTTCGTAGGATTGCTGTGGTGCTTCGTAGGATTGCTGTGGTGCTTCGTAGGATTGTTGCGGTGCTTCGTAGGATTGTTGTGGTGCTTCGTAGGATTGTTGTGGTGCTTCGTAGTTGTTGTGGTGTAGGATTGTTGCGGTGTTCGTAGGATTGTTGCGGTGCTTCATGCAGGATTGTTGTGGTGCTTCGTGGGATTGCTGTGGTGCTTCGTGGTTGTTGGCGTGCTTCGTAGGATTGTTGCGGTGTTTCGGGGGATTGCTGTGGTGCTTCGTAGGATTGCTGTGGTGCTTCGTAGGATTGCTGTGGTGCTTCGTGCAGGATTGTTGCGGTGCTTCGTAGGATTGTTACCGGTGCGTAGGATTGTTGCAGTGCTTCGTAGTTGCTGTGGTGCTTCATGGATTGCTGTGGTGCTTCGTAGGATTGCTGTGTGGTGCTGCTGTGGTGCCTTGCGCCGTATGGGATTGCTGTGGTGCTTCGTAGGATGCTGTGGTGCTTCGTAAGATTGCTGTGGTGCTTCATGGGATTGCTGTGGTGCTTCGTAGGATTGTTGTGGTGCTTCGTAGGATTGTTGTGGTGCTTCGTAGGATTGTTGTGGTGCTTCGTAGGATTGTTGTGGTGCTTCGTAGGAGTCTTGTGGTGCCCTGTAGGATTCTTGTGAAGCTACAGGGGGGGATGCGAAGGACTCTCGTGGGGGCGCTCCATAAGACTCCTGTGAAGCTGGTGGTGGGGGAACATTATAGAGGGGCGCTGGTGGTTCAGGAGCTCTGTAGGACTCTTGAGGTGCTTGAGGGGCCCCGTAGGACTCTTGAGGTGTTTGAGGGGCCCCGTAGGACTCCTGGGGTGCTTGAGGGGCCCCGTAGGACTCCTGTGGTGCTTGAGGGGCCCTGTATGATTCCTGGGGAGCTTGAGGGGCCCCGTAGGACTCCTGGATTGCTTGGGGGGCCCCGTAGGGCTCCTGAGGTGCTTGAGGGGCCCCGTAGGACTCTTGAGGTGCTTGAGGGGCCCCGTAGGACTCCTGAGGTGCTTGAGGGGCCCCGTAGGACTCCTGAGGTGCTTGAGGGGCCCCGTAGGACTCTTGAGGTGCTTGAGGGGCCCCGTAGGACTCCTGAGGTGCTTGAGGGGCCCCGTAGGATTCCTGAGGTGCTTGAGGGGCTCCGTAAGATTCCTGGGGTGCTGCAGGTGCGTTGTAGGACTGCTTAGGAGCTGTGGGAGCTCCATAGGACTGTTGGGGGGCTGGAGGGGCGCTATAGGATTGTCGAGGAGCTGAGGGAGCTCTGTAGGATTCCTGGGGTGCTGAAGGGGCGCCGTAGGATTCCTGAAGAGCTGGGGGAGCTCTGTAAGAATTCCGGGGTGTTGGAGGGGCGCCGTAGGAATCCTGGGGTGTTGGAGGGGCGCCGTAGGAATCCTGAGGTACCGGAGGGGCGCCGTATGACTGCTGTACCGGGGCAGGAGAGATCTGCGGCACTCCATACCCCTGTTGAGGTCCTCCCTGGCCACACTGGGTCTGGTAACTCTCCCGGGTGGTAGTCACCGTCACGTACTGGGGTTGGAACCTGGTCTCGTACTGGGTCTGGTATTCGGTCTGGTAGGTCGTGGTGGTGACGTACTGGGGCTGTACCACCGTCGAGTACTCGGTCTGGAACTTGGTCTGTGTCTCATACTGGTAGGACAGCTCGGTGGTGGTGACGTAGGAGGGGACATAGTCAGTGGTGGTGATGTAGACCGGCTCGTACTGCACTGTGTAACTGGTGGAGTAGATGATCTGGGTGCTGTACCGGGTCCTGTAGTCCGTGGTGGTCACGTACCGGGGCACAAACTGGGTCGAGTACTGCACCTGGTTCACCGTCTTGTATACCGTCTCGTACAAGGTAGTAGGGACCACCTGCGTCCGGTACACTGTCTTGTAGACGGGTTGCTGTAGGAAGTGACAGAGGGTGTGTAAGTTAGTGTTGTAACCTGTACTTTATCACTCAGTTAGCCTGTCTATCTATCTATCTATCTATCTATCTATCTATCTATCTATCTATCTATCTATCTATCTCACAGTACAAACTCTTTAAGAAATAACACCAAAATTAGATTACTCTAAATAATATCTAGAAAAAGGGAATTGTAAATAGATACAGAGAGAGAGAGAGAGAGAGAGAGAGAGAGAGAGAGAGAGAGAGAGAGCTCAAATTCACCCGCTTATATCGTCTTCCGTTTTTAAAGAAAGGGAAAGAGAGAGGAAGAGAAAATGACAGGCAATGTTTCAACAGTGGAAAGTAAGAAGTGACATGAGAGTTACTTTCCCTTGTCAACAGTGAGGATGATTCGCCTGATTCAGTTTCCCGTCTCAAAGCTTCAGTCTCTAAGGTGGGGTGCTGAGAGTTTCGTTAATTTCAAAGAGTTTCAGTGCAGTTATGACGCCATCTTGGTTATTGTCTTTGTATTGTGGCATAAGGAGAAAGCTGTTTAGGAAATTGTTTATACATTTAATGCTCTTTTGATAATCTGGACGGCAAGGTGAACTCATCTCAGATCAGCTGACTAATGTTTGTAAACAGAGGGAAAGTGATGCGAGTCACAGCTGATTATTGTGAGTATTCTCTCTCTTTCTCTCTCTTTCTTTCCTTCTCTCAATCATTCGTTCTTTCTCGCTTTATTTATTTATCTCACTTTCTCTCCTTTTTGCGCCATCATCCGTATCACCACATTTACTGCCACATCCTCACCATCACCACACCATCACCACACCACCACCACCACACCACCAGCCTTTACTCCTCGACACCTTCACCACACTCTAACATCCCATACTCACCACCACACTACAATTTCCCCTACTCCTTTACACCATCACCACGCCATCACACATCAACACCACCACACCAACACCACCACACACATCAACACCACCACACATCAACACCACCACACACATCACCACACACACACATCACACACCACCACCACATCACACACCACCACACACATCAACACCACCACACACATCAACACCACCACACCAACACCACCACACACATCAACACCACCACCACCACACACATCAACACCACACCAACACCACCACACACATCAACACCACCACCGCACCATCAACACCACCACACCAACACTACAACATCCCCTACTCCTCAACACCACCACCATATCATCAACACCACTACACCAACACCACCACTACAACATCCCCTACTCTTCAACACCACTACCGCACCATCAACACCACACCATCAACACCACCCACACCATCAAAACCACCACACCATCAACACCACCACTCCATCAACACCACCACTCCATCAACACCACCACACCATCAACACCACCACACCACCACACCAACACCACACCATCAACACCAACACCACCAACACCACCACACCAACACCCACACCATCAACACCACCACCACCATCAACACCACCACACCAACACCACCACCACAATATCCCCTACTCCTAAATAATAATAATAATGGTTGCCCCTCGTGTAACAAGGATGGCCGGCCCACGGGCCACCTGGGCGTGAATTTGTTTAAGGTGTAGAAGCTGTCGCCAACACAACAACCACATCCTGAGTTAACGAGCTGCATGACCCAGTGTCAAGGAATAGTCCAAGAAGACCGGACAACTCGCCAACTGCACTGGCTAACCATTACCCCGGAACACGATCCGCAAATTACTGCTGGGTAAACAGAGGCAAATGGCGTCAAGAAATTTGCCCCTAGTTTCACCCTGATCCGCCCGACTTGCGAGGCGAGCATGCTGACCATTATACCACTCCTTAACACTACCACCACATCACCACACCACCGTCACCACACCACCACCACCTACACCACCACCACCTACACCACCACTACCACCACTACTACACTACAACATCCAATACTCCTTCACACCGTCACCACCACACTACAACATCCTCTTCTCAACAGCCACCACAACACCATTACCACCACACTACAACATCCTCTTCTCAACACCACCACAACACCACTACCACCACACTACAACATCCACTACCCCTCAACACCACCACCCCCGTTACCACCACAACCTCGCCATTACCAACACAACACTATAACATCCACTACCCTCAACACCACCACATCACCATCACCACCACACAACACTACAACATTCCCTACTCCACCACCACACTACAACATCTCTACACTACCACCACCACCATCCCTGCTCCTCAACACCACCACCACTACAACATCTCCTGCACCTCAACACCACCATCACCATCCCCTACTCCTCCAACACCACCACCACACAACTACAACATCCCCTACTCCTCACCACCACCACTATTCCTCACACCACACCACACCACACCACCACACCACCACCCACCACACACCACCACCACCACCACCACCACCACCACACACCACCACCACCACACACCATCACCACCACCACCACCACCACCACACTACCCTCAACATCCCCTACTTCTCACACCAGTACCACCACACCACTGCTACACCACACTACAACATCCTCTACTCAACAACACCACCACCACAACACTACAACATCCTCTACTCAACGCCACCACCACACTACAACATCCCTTACTCCCACCACACACTCACCACCAGACCAACCTACCTCAATAACCTCAGTTCGATACATGGTGCGGTACTCTATAATAGGAACACACTTGGGAGGAGGTCGATATTTTCCCCTGTTCATGAAGAAGGTGCCGTCACCCCTTCCAGCCAGCACCACCACCAGCAGCACCACCGTCAGGCAGCTCTTGAACAACATCTACCAGGGGAGAAATAAGTGTTAGAGAATGAATGATTTTTTTGTTAGTGTGTTTGAGGATTAAGAACGTTAAAAGTTGGTCATTGATAGTGGCGTTAAGACACACGTATATATTCCCCCGCGCGGAACAGTGCTATCAGTAAGGTCAGGAAGGATGGTTTTGAAGCTGATTGGATATGGCTATGGATGGGTTTGTCCTGAAATATTCCTATTGTGTTGTTGTTTAATCTTTGTGCGAACAGGAGGACCGAGAGAGAGAGAGATAAAAAGAGAGGGAAGTTTGTACAGAGAGAGAGAACTACAGTAAGAGAAGGAACATGAACAGAAGGTAGTTGTAGGAGAGTAGAAAGGGATAGAGAGATAAGAGAAGGACATAATGACGAAAGAGATAGACAGATAGTTTCGCCACACCAACATTCTTCGCCACCACCTTTTCTTCTTACTGTGACTCTTCATCTATAACAACAAACGTAACACAAACAATTATTATTATTTATCAAAGCGAACACCGACGCTCATTACACCAGCCAACACCATCCATCTCCGCTCACTCAACCCTGGACAACAAACACGCGCCAACATAATAATAATAATAATAATAATAATAATAATAATAATAATAATAATAATAATAATAATATGAACATTGACATTCCCAACTTGATATATTATAAAGGTACAAAGAAAAATAGTGAATATAATCAATCGTATAACGTTTAAGAAAGTATGTCCTCCACAAGTCTAGTTTTCTATGGTGGTGAGAGAAAACGGGTCTTGAAAATCCGATTCGGGGTAACTATGATGATTTTTTTTATGGAGATTTCATCGAAGGTGTAAAGAAGGATAGATAGAGATAGATAGATGGATAGAGATACATATGAAGATAGATATAGATAGATAGGAAGATAGATAGATAGAGACTAAGCAGGCAGTTGACAAAAGAATAGGGAGAAAGTGACATGACTATGGTATACCTCGTGTTGTCGTGAGTCAGCTGAGGTGTGTGTATCCCTCGCTCTGGAACATTATAGCTCCAGCAGAGGGACTGAGACCTAAGATGCCTGGTCTTATATTTTCTTCTCTCTTTCTTCTTCTCTTTTATTGTCGTTTTTCTTGTCATTCTTGTTGTTTTATTGTTCTTGTTGTTCGTTGGTAGTATAGAAACCAATCACTGACTGGCTGACGGTCGCCCACTAGTCACCACCACCACCACGACATCCTCTCTCTCTCTCTCTCTCTCTCTCTCTCTCTCTCTCTCTCTCCGCTTCCTCGAGAACGACGTCACTTTAAAAAGACTTCCATCACGTCACATAACCGAGAGGAATTGCAGCTCCTCAGTGAACGTGTAGTGATTATCCGGTGTTCAGCGTTGCCTCATAACCACGACGCTAACTTCGCTGTCGCTGTGTGAATTTTAACGGGAGTCATTAAAAGCAGGAACTGTGATTAGGCGCGAGCACTGTAGCAAGTAATCCGGCACAGTTTGTTGGGCTTCTCTGGGTGTTGTGTTTTGTTCCATCTAATCTGATCCGTTCTAACTTAACTTAACCTCACAGCGTCACAATAAGGAGGAACTGTGTAAGGCGCGGTCACTGTAGCAGGTTATCCAGCACAGTTTGTCGAATTTATCTGTTTTGTTCACGAGTAAACACAGGAAACACGGTAGGGGAAGTATATATACGAACGAGTGACTGAAAATATATGAAATTGATACTAATTGTGTGTATGCAAGAAGCACACTGAATTGACCAGATATTATCATTCTGCCTCAAGATGGATCCATTCCGTGTTGGCGAGTTACCCCTGTGATAGCCAGTCAACCATACCAATAGTCACCAAACACTACCACGATAAATAGGTAGACGACGCAGGTACACTCAGATACGTGCAGGTACACAACCGCAGGTACATTCACACGTACAGTCCACACGTACACATACACAGCCACAGGTACACTCACACACGTACAGGTACATGTACACAGCCCCAGGTACACCCAGACACAGGTTACTACAGATGGTGTACCCCTGGGCAGGTGTCCCCTTGTGTTCCTCAGTGTTGAAATATGTGTTTATAATTCGCTCCTCAGTGAAAGGGGGGTTATGTTTGGGTTTTATTTTATCAATAAGATATAAAGAACATGTAAAGCACCAGAGAGAGAGAGAGAGAGAGAGAGAGAGAGAGAGAGAGAGAGAGAGAGAGAGAGAGAGAGAGTCATCACACTACGCTATCTTCTTACCTGCTTCAAACTGTGTAGGCCTATATATATATTAGGTAAAAGTGTTTATGTTTTACGCTCTAAATGCTGTGCTGAAGGTTGAGGAAGAGCGTCTGGTTATTAGCACTTATTACACTTACTCAATCACTTCACAGAACCACAGCGCGTGTTGAAAGCTATATATATATATTTAACGGTTCATATTTGGCTAGATTTTACTAATGACATATAATAGTGATGTACTGTATATATATATTTTTTTTTAAGCATCAATATTGTCAGTTATTAAGCGATGACGTTGCTCCTGTGTGTATTTTAATAGCTCGTGATTAGTAATTCACACCGTTACGTCACGCTGCGATAAACTCGTCATTGGTGGAGTAGTGTTCACGGAGCTGTGACATCATATCCTGGTCGACGACTGAGGAAGAGGGGCGACACGTGGTGGACCAGCGCCCGCACCTGATTGGGAAGGGAAAGTGATGACGTAGATGGGAGATGGGTTGTAGCCACGCCCTCTTTCTTATGCTTTCTTCCATTACAGAGAGAGAGAGAGAGAGAGAGAGAGAGAGATTAGGGGATAAAAACAAAAGAGAGGTTAACAAAGGGAGAGAAACAGGGAAGATAAATAAACAGTAGAGGGAGAAAGGATTATTCGCGTCTCGCTCGAGTTGGTAAATTGAATATATTGTACATTACATTTCAGGATTCTTACACAACACGCTGTCACTTCCCGTTAAACCGTGAGATATAGAGCGTTGTACTCTCTCTCTCTCTCTCTCTCTCTCTCTCTCTCTCTCTCTCTCTCTCTCTCACACACACACACACACACACACACACACACACACACACTTTCGATAATTCTACCAATCTCTTCACCAAAACTCAATCACACAATTTTATGTCATTATCGAACTTCATTTTTCACTTAATTTCTTTCCGGACCGAGACGCGAACACGTTATTGTTGTTGTTGACTTTTTTCGACCATGAGACACAGACAATTTACGAACTCTTGATTTATTCCCGAGTTGTAAAAAAAAGTGTAATAAAAAAAAACTTTAAAAAATGAAAGGTATCGACTTAACGAATGTAAATATAGAGAGAAAGGGATAGTGATTTCTCATAACAAAGAAAACACGTAAATGAATAGTAAATTGTGTAAAAATGTAAAAAAAAAGTAAAAAAAATCAAACTTACACAACGAACGTAAACATAGAAAAAAATAAGAAAAGTCGTAAATAAATGGAATATTATATAAAGGTGAAAAAATTTTTTTAAAAAAACTAATCATCTCATCGGATGTAAATAAATCGTACTGAACGGAACACCCTGCTCGTGTTACTGTCACCTCGCGTGTACACTGTGCATTACGCTCATGGTGAAAACTTGTCTGTACTTGTTTGATGTCTCGTGGTGGTGTGTGTTGTAGACAGTGTGTAGAGAGGTCTTAACTATACGTGTGTGTGTGTGTGTGTGTGTGTGTGTGTGTGTGTGTGTGTGTGTGTGTGTGTGAAATAATGTTCTGTTCTGAGGTCTATTTCAGTAACTTTCCATGCATGTAGAACGCGTTATTAATGGTCTGGAATGTGAGTATGGCATGTTGTAGGTGTCTGGGATGCGTAAATGTCTGGAATGCACAACTGTCTAGAACGAGAAATGTCTGGAGCACATATATGTCTGGAAACGAGTAATGGAATGCATAAATGTCTAGAATGCATTTATGTCTAGAATGCGTAAATGTCTGAAACGCGTAGCACTGTGTAGAAGTTCACACCATTTATATCTCAGGAATGCGTTAATAATGCGTCAAGTTTCCACCGCCTCACACTGGTCCGCGTATATGTACTCAAGTATTGCGTAAAACTTTTCTGCAATACAATGACTATGATGAGGAAAGGTTCACACACACACACACACACACACACACACACACACACACGAATGAAGTGGTGGAAGAGATTCATTGTGTTGGTCTTGAGGTCGTGGCTTCGAATCCTCTTTGTGCATTATCTTGGGTCACATGAAGATTAGACACCCCAGCTTATATCACTGTAAGATCAACCACCCTAACGCTAACCCGATTTAATTTAACCTAACTTAATCAACCTTAACCTAACCTAACCCGATCTAATTTAACCTAACCTAACGCTAACCTAACCTACCTCAAGTGTCTTAATCATCAGGTGAAATACCCAGGTAATCTTCAGGTAATCCACGATAATCAATGGTAAGATTCTAGGGTGGTGGAGTGTTAAGTATACTGGTCTGGCATATAAGTGGTCGTGGTTAGAGAAATTTTTAACTAAATGGAAACTTGAAGAAGATTTATAGCCACGAGACGATCTACTGAACGTGAAGATGAGGTGGCTGAGTGGTTATCATGTGTGAATAACAGTCATGCGTTCCCTGGTTCGAGTGTCTCAGATGAGGAGGTGGCTGAGTGGTTATCATGTGTGAATAACAGTCATGAGTTCCTTGATTCGAGTGTCTGGGATGGGGAGATGGCAGAGTGGTTAGCAAGTGGGAATAATAGTCATGAGTTCCCTGGTTCGAGTATCTGATGCGGAAATGGCTGAGTGGTTTTAAGTCGTCACTATAAGCACCATCACTTCATTGGTTCGAATAGATAGTGATTATTCATATATTTTTAAGACATAGTTGTGATGGTGTACTGTGAATGATGGATGGATGGATGGATGGATAGTAGGATGGATCGATAAATGGATTGTTGGATGGATGCTTGGATGGATGGATGGATGGATAGTAGGATGGATCGATAAATGGATTGTTGGATGATGGATGGCTGGTTAGATGGATGGATGGATGGATAGTAGGATGGATCGATAAATGGATTGTTGGATGGATGGATGGATGGATGGATGGATAGTAGGATGGATCGATAAATGGATTGTTGGATGGATGGATGGATGGATGAACGAGCAATTTGACTGTAGACATAGGAGGGCGGGCCAGTGTTGTGAAGAGAGGCTTTACTGCCCCTGAAACGCTGCTTGGATGTTGGTTTGTAAGTATGTATGTATGTATGCATGTATGTTATGTACGTATGACTGTATGGATGTATGTATGTATGTGTAATAGTATATGCGTGTAGTATATGTATGCAAATATTGACATGTGTGTGTGTGTGTGTGTGTGTGTGTGTGTGTGTGTGTGCAAAAGAATAAACACAGCTTACGAAGCAACAGACAGAAACAGACACTCACTCAGGGACATCACAGACCTCCAGAGAGAGAGAGAGAGAGAGAGAGAGAGAGAGAGAGAGTATCAATCATCACACCACAAAAGGTTCCAATTCCCTTTCATTAGAGAGTGTGATGCAGCGTGACTCTTGCCGTCCTAGAAAGTGATCTCAAACTCCGTGAATGGTGTTGGCGGAAGGAGGAGGAGGAGGAGGAGGAGGCGGAGAAAGCATAGTGTCAATAGAAAGAGGTAAAAGGATCGTGATGATGGAGCCACAAAGCGTAAAAGGATTAGCAGGAAGAGGAGGAGAATGAGGAGGAGAATGAGGAGGCTTAGCAGGAGGAGGAGGAGGAAGAGGAAAAAACCCATTAGTGTGTAAATGAAAGTTTTGAGGAGGAGATGAGATAGATAGATAGATAGATAGATAGATAAATGGATGGATAGATAGATGGATAGATAGCTAGATAGATGGTAGATAGAGGGGGTTTAGAAAGAAAGAGAGAAAGGGGTTATACATAAATGTTTTGTCAGGTTTAACACACAGGTATGCACGTCAGAATGAACTAATCAACTGTACACACACACACACACACACACACACACACACACACACACACACACACACACACACACACACACACACACACATATAAATTATTTTAGTGTCATGTTTTCCTTCCTGTTCGGTGATGACGTGGCAAGCGAAAGGGACCTCCATACCTCCTGACATGTTATATTGTGTGTGGGTTGTAATACACCATGACACGAGACTCCATCCACACACTCACATCCACTTTGGTACCCGATTCTCACTAATGCCTATGATAATTTCTCTTCTTAATTGATAAAAGAAGTGGATATTTACCGTAGATTGTGAGTTTTTTTGAGAGTTTCGGGGGTGATTTTGGAGGTTTGAGTTCTTTTCGAGAGGTTTAAAGGTGTTGATAACGTGTGAGGTTGGAGTGTATGAGAACCCAGGGATTGACTGAGAGATCGAACCAGGGTACACCTAGGGTGGGATTTGAGAGCGTTATCCACCATGCCACTGTGGATTTTCTCGACGGTAGAGAGAAGTGGAATACACAAATAAAACGCGAGGAGAAGATAGTAATAAAGGATAAAAGAGAAATGAAGGAAATATTACATAACGTGAGGAGAATGAATGGAGTAATGACGGTGATTAAGATAGAAGAATGAAAGGAAAAGTAAAACGTGGGATTAAAACAATGAAAAAAAAACATGAAAGTGAAAGCAATAATAACTTCATAAAAAAAGATAACGATTTTTTTTACAATTAGGAAAACCAAAATTAATGAGATAATCGGAACAATTTTAACACCTGTAAGATATTTATTAATTGGCTATTTACATTTTTACCTTGGGGATAAAATATTAATTATCTGGTATTTACAAATTTTTTTTTTTTAGCATTAAGAAAGAATTATAATAAGGATGTGATTATATTTGCTTCCTGTGTGTGTGTTTGAAACGAATGAAATGAAATGAAAGTGTGTGAAGACAGTTAGGGAAGTGGGGGGTATTTATTGTGTGGGGCTTACCTGTGTGGGTGGTCGGGTGTATTACAAGCACAGGTACACACACACACACACACACACACACACACACACACACACACACACATGACCTGTCTTAGTACAATATATCCTACCACAGTCTTGTCATCAATCACCCCTGTTTCTACCTGTCTCCACCTGTCTCTACCTGTATGTCTGTCTCACCCTGTCTCTTTCTGTCTCTGATTCTCTCTGTCTCGACCTACCATCACTAACATAAGAGACAAAAAATATAATGACCCAAAAATTATTCAGCTCTGGGGGAGATATAGAAGAGAGAGAGAATGAGACGGGGCTGATTGATCTCTCTGAATGTGAGATAGTATTGTCAAGGAGATACAACACGTAGAGACAGGGAGGGAGAGACAAGAGACAAAAGAGAGACATTGAGAGATAGTTACTTATATTGTTTTTATTTTAGGTAATGGGAAGTCCAGTTGTTGTTGACTAAATGGACTATATTGTTATAAATTTCCAGCCCAATTTTGACTTATTTTCGTTTCTGTTTATTTGTAATTTATTTTTGTTATTTATTTTTATGGGGGAGGATTTTTTAACTCTTGTGAACTTGTTAATTAGTTTTGGTTAAGTTAATCTGTTGTTTATTTGTCTTGGTTAAGTTAATCTGTTGTTAATTAGTCTTGGTTAAGTTAATCTGTTGTTAATTAGTCTTGGTTAAGTTAATCTGTTGTTAATTAGTCTTGGTTAAGTTAATCTATTGTTAATTAGTCTTGGTTAAGTTAATCTGTTGTTAATTAGTCTTGGTTAAGTTAATCTGTTGTTAATTAGTCTTGGTTAAGTTAATCTGTTGTTAATTAGTCTTGGTTAAGTTAATCTGTTGTTAATTAGTCTTGGTTAAGTTAATCTGTTGTTAATTAGTCTTGGTTAAGTTAATAAATAATCAGTTGTATACCTTTGTTAAGTCCCCTCACCTGTGTACAACTCTTACCTGTAATACTGATGGTGCTGTTGACGGTGCTATAGTCAACAACAATAATATCAACAATAACAACAACAATAATAATAACAATACGAAGATGATATTTGTGTTCTTGATACGCTAACCTTCCTCCCTCTCACCTCTTCCTCTTCCTCCTCCCCTTGTAAAGTGTTTGTGCTGTTAATACTTTACCCCCTTTCTCCTTCTCCACTTCTTCCCCTCTTCCTCCTCCTCCTCCCTCAGTTAAGTGTTATAAGTGCCGCTATTAAGTTGTTTAGGGAAGTGACGTCACCTTTGTGTATTACTTTTATTCATTTTATTATTTTTCTTTATTTGTTTACTTTTACCATCTTGTGTTATGTCATTGTGGTAATAATATTGATGTTTATATCCTCGATAATGTTGTTGTATTTTTCAGCAACACACACGCGCGCGCACACACACACACACACACACACACACACACACACACACACTTTTTCGTGGGAGATTTCGAACATCAACAAGTGAGGACAATGTGTGTGTGTGTGTGTGTGTGTGTGTGTGTGTGTGTATAATTAATATTGTCGACATAGCCTCTCTCATGCACCCCACTTCACGTTTTGTTTTGTTTTCAATACATTTATACCACAACAAGAAACCCACCCCCCCCCCACCCCCTCACACACTGATCCATTATTATTATTCTTTATATATTTTTTCCAACACACAGAACACTCCGTCGTCTCGTGAAAGTAAATCAACATTATCCAGAAAAATGTGATAAATTAAACGACAGAGAGAGATAGAAATAATAATCCACTCGATGTGTACTTGCCTTTTACACCAGAGGTCCCTCACTGACTGACTGCCGAAGCGAGGAAACCCACCAATTTATAGTAATGCTCCCTACCTACTACTGCTGAGTCACCCTCCCCTCACTCACATCTCGTTTTCTTTGCACCGTGACGCAATAACGAAGTCTCGGTCGAAAGGGAAAAGAGTTGGAGAGGAATTCTTGCTTGCGTTCACCTTCTGAATCCGGATTTGTAGTTCTGTTTCTGGCAGATGGGAAAAGGAAGGATGGATTCTTGTTCACGTTCGTCTACTGAATCCAGATTTAATGTGTGTTTTTTTGAAGGCTGCGTTTTCTTAATATAGGAGCCGCCTTGTATGACCTGACAGATGGTGTTCGTTGAGTTTGGGGGGATGATTTTTCTTCTAATTCAGATCGATAGAACCAGTGGCCAACCCCTCGTTACCCTTGTTATTTTGTGTAGTGATGATGATGGTGATAGTGATGATGATAGTAACAGAGACCCAGAGAGAATGACAGATACAGATAGGGAAAGAGAGAGACGGATAAACAGAGTGAAAGAGAGAGATAAACAGACAGGCAGACAGACAGACATACATATTACCTGTGAGTTTGTAAAGTATCGTCGTGTGAACTTACCCCATTTTGTTACACCTTCAGGTGGAGGGGGGGGGGGGAGACTCAAGGAAAGATGAATGGCAAACTTTTTCGTGTGTGTAAATTACTCCGGCTACCTGTATTACTGTCACCTCTGGCCCGGGATAAGGTAGACAGATTTGTGAAATGATATCGTTAAATAGGCAGGTGTATGGACAGGTAGATGGGTACGTGGATAGATCGATATATTGACAGATAGGTGGATAGGTATATGGATCTAAAGTTTGACAGATAGGAAGAGATGTGATAGACAGACAGACAGACAGACAGACAGTCAGTGTGCTTCCATAACCAATGGGGTGTAATATTAGCTTCCTAAATTCCTGGCCAGTTGCTTGCCGAACACTTTCACTTTTTTGTGTCTTAAATACACACTAATGCTTTCTTCCTGCCTGTGTGCTGAGGGAGGGAGGGAGGAGGAGGACACTGAGAGAGGGTGGGAGGGAGAGTGTGGGAGGAAGGGAGGGAGGGAGAGTGGGTAGGGGAGGACTGAGAGAGGGTGGGAGAGGGAGAGTGTAGGAGGAAGGAGGAGGAGGTAGGAGGAGGGTAGGGGAGGACTGAGAGGGTGGGAGAGGAGAGTGTAGGAGGAAGAAGGAGGGAGAGAGTAGGAGGGAGGGTAGGGGAGGACTGAGAGTGGGTGGGAGAGGGAGAGTGTGGGAGGAAGGAAAGGAAGAGATGAGAGACGGGGGGAGGATGAGAGAGTTAGAGAGAGAGAGAGAGAGTAACTGTTTTACCTACACTGTTTATATTGAACGAACATAAGCTTTCACTCCGCCTGCATAATTGATTGTACCTGTGTGTTCATTAGCATACTCGAGGGCCACAGGTGAGGGCAGGTGTGCTTGTCCGTATGTCAGGTAGAGGCCAACACGGACACAGGCACGTACAGTTCCGTTCAGAAGTTCGTGGTACACTGGCGGTAAAGGGTGCACTGCACAGCCTGTTGTACCCTTCCTGGACGACAGGTCACTGTGCCGAACATCCTGCCAACACACACAGTGGAACTGGCAACGGAGCAGTTTGATTTGAACGAATACTCATCGAAAGGAGATGGGAAGGATATTGATATGAATATCCTGCCGACGAGAGAAGAAAACTGTACTGATATGAGTCCATTCGAATATCAAAATACAATAGGGAAATTGGTTTTTAATGTAGGTGAACAGAGCTCATATATCAAGAGTCTTCAGTGTAGTCATTACTTGAAGTTTTTCGTATAATACTCTAGCTATATATACAGTATATGTGTGTGTGTGTGTGTGTGTGTGTGTGTGTGTGTGTGTGTGTGTGTGTAATAATAATAAACGGTTTATTAATAGAGTTGCAGCCAATGGCTGAAAATATACAGACTTACATTTGATTTAGACATAATGATATAATATGCATTGAATACATTTACAGGGTTGTACAGTACATAAATCAGGAGTTGTTTATTATTTTAACAGTAGATGGGATGGTGCTGTTCTTATATCTATTGATGCGGGCTCTTATGGGCTGAATTTTGTTGTAGTGGCGGACTGCGCGAGGTGGGCGGGTGGCTGCCGGTGGCAGGAGGTGGCGATGATGAGGGTGGTGCATTAATTGGCTGCCAAACCTTTCCAGTGCTTGGTGGTGGAGGTCACTGAGGGATGGCATTTCCAGGGTGGAGAGAGCGTTGGTGTAGCCGGAGTATTCTGCGCCGAGCATGATTCTGCAGGCCCCTTTCTGTACCTTCTCTAGCTGACGTTGTTGGGTGGAGTTGAGAGAAGACGACCAGGCTGGTGACGCATACGTTAGTTTGGGGAGAATAAAGGCGTTGTAGATGGTCCTCAGCTCTGGCGTGGGTGTCCCCAAGTGACCTAAATCGTCGTAGCATGTAAAAGACAGTGCAAGGCTGCCTTGACTGTGTTATTTACATGGGCCTTTCAAGTCAAGTTTGGTGTTAATGGAGGCCGAGCCCTGATATTTCACTGCCTGGCGACGTCCACTCAAGAAATCAGTGAGCCATGAACCAGGTTGGTGGGCAGCCCTAGTGCAATGGGCTTGCTGATAACAGTGCAGTGCAGAAAATCCAGAAAGCTCACCAAGCAGTGTGATGTAGAGGAGGCCCTCATATTGCCTAATTGCTGTGGATCAATTGACTGATAGATTCCAAGCAGTGTGATGTAGAGGAGGCCCTCATATTGCCTAATTGCTGTGGATCAATTGACTGATAGATTCTGGCAAATTCCCACTCAAAAACAAAGTCCTCACAAAGTAGACTGGGTATGGGGGTAATGGCAACTGGCCTGAGGTCGTTAGGGGACTGTGGGGTGGTGACCTTGGGGATGGGGGGTGACAAATGCGGTTTTCCATTCATTAGGGCATTTGCTTTGTCTGAGGGATGCATTAATAATAGAACAGAGGGGGGTGGCAAGTTCGACTGCAAACTCCTTGTATGTTTTCATTGGGAGGTCAATTGGGGTCTTGGAGCGTTTGGATTTAAATTTCCGGAGTTTGTTGGCGATTTCAAATGGTTGAACACTGGGGTGGGGGAAGGTAAGTAAGCCGGGAGGAGTGTGTGTGTGTTACGCTAACTGGTGATAATTGCCGATTAAGTGTTAATAACATTTATCACACATAAGGCGATTGCTGTCATTAATTGTTTTCGTCGTACTGTTGCTCTTAATCACATATAAGGCGAATGATACTAATAACAATAATTTTAACAATATCAGTAATAATACTTAATTTTAGTAATACATGGTAATATATATATAGAAATATATATATATTGTCTTACCATTTGTTACATTGTTGGTGTAGAGAAAGGTGGTAAGGATGACCAGTGTTGACAAATGCTCGCTAAATGGCCGGTTTTGACAGTCGAAAATGCTCTTTAAATTGCTTTTACTGACAATTGAATAATGTGCTGTGTCGACAGGTAAATGCCCTGTGAGTGGCCCATTCATGATTTGTGAAAAACCTCGCTGAGTGGCCCTTGTTGACACGAATTTCTGAAAGGTTTAATGAGTGGGTTGACACATTGAAATGCTCTCTGAGTGGCCAGTTAACCCCAGCTTGAGTATGGGGAATACAGGTACACAGTCACACACACACACCTCAGAGTAATAGTTAGTGCCATCATGTGGTGGTAAAAATGATGTAACAACAACACAGGAAGTTTGCTATATCCATCAGTATGTGTTAGTGGTGGTCTCCCTCCGCCTTACACACACACACACACACACACACACACACACACACTTGCTGGTATTTTGAGGAGTTAAGTAAGCTGTTGCGTTGATTGGCTTCTACAGGTATAACTCTTCTCGCTTTACCTGTGTAGTGGTATAAGCAGCCAATGCCATATTCTTCTTCTTCTTCTTCTTCTTCTTCTTCTTATTCTATTATTATTATTATTATTATTATTATTATTATTATTATTATTATTATTATTATTATTATTATTATTATTATTATTATTATTATTATTATTATTATTATTATTATTATTATTATTATTATTATTAATATAGATGCAAAGATGAAGGGAAAGGGCAGACAGAGGTAAAGGAGAGATAAACAGTAGGTGGAAAAGGGAAGGAAGAGAGAGAGAGAGAGAGAGAGAGAGAGAGAGAGAGAGAGAGAGAGAGAGAGAGAGAGAGAAACGGGGGTAGTGGGAGAGAGACACGCGTGACAGTACTGCATGCCATGAGAAGTGTTCCCTGTCCATTGGCCTCGTGACAGATAGACCACTTTTCGCATGAATTGACAGTGACCCTCTTCACTGTACATGACATGACAGCTCAACGAGACAAGAGAAGATTCCCCATTTCACCTGACATGAGGACGCTTCTGTGACATGATAGAAAGCTTTCCCGTTCTAAATGACATGACAGAGCCACTGCATGACATGACAGAGATCATCCCCGTTCTAAATGACATGACAGAACCGGTTCATGACTTGACAGAACCTGACATTCTACATAAGCCGTTTGGTTTACGGTGTGTAGGTGTTGTTGAGGCGTCGGGGTAATCATGACGTGGATGTTTTGCACTGCCTCTCGCACCAATTACTGTACCATCGCTTCGTGTTGTCTTTGTTCACAGTGTTTCCCCCCAGGACTGCCATCTCCTTTGCTCCTACTTCGTTTATATTATATTATTTGCTATATCATTTTTATTGGTGATTTTCCCGGCGGTGTTCCTTAAACTTTTCCTTTTGTTCCTCCTTCGTTTATATGCTATGCGGTGTTCCTAAAGGTATTTTCTCTGTTACTCTTCTGTTTATATATATTGTGGTGTTCCTTAATCTGTCTTCCTTGTTCCTCTTCTGTTTATCTGTTTTGTGGTGTTCCTTTAGCTTTTATCTTTTTCCCCTTCCGTTTATCTGTTTTATTTCCATCTTATCTTCACCTCTACCCACAACT